CGGAGAGGGCACATGGCCCCCAATCTCCTGAGAGCACCCTCTGATCACCCACTCACGCCAGACCCCTCGGAAAGGGTTCGACCTGCGACCCTCTGTTCAGGGGAAGCTCCATTTTCTCCCTCCTCCGGGACAAGGCTCTTTCCCCAGGTCTGTGGGCGGGTTGGTTTCACTTCTTGGCGACTAACCATGGACTCTGGCCCTTGAGGAGTATAGAGAAAGGGATGTTTGAGAAGGAGCATCTTGGGTGACTGGCACTTGGGGGTATGTCCTGGGACTGGCAGGACCCCACAGACCCTGGTCACCTTGGCAGACACCCTCTCAGTTTGCACCCACCCTCTCTTCCCCCTTTTATCACAGCCCCATTTGCCTCCCTGGATGTGAGAATCCAGCTTGGCCTGTGCTCATTGGAAGATTCTATCAGGGAAAGGAGGGTGAGGCAAGAGAGGGGCCCTCCTCTCTGTGACAGCTTGTCCCCTCTCTGCTTTGTGATCCTGTCCTGACCAGCCTGGTCTTCTCTTCATTCTGCTTCCACTGGCCACCTCTGCTCGGGCTCTAACTTAGAACTTAGCAGGTCTGTGCACTGCTGGGCAATCTGTTAGCTCCTGGAGAGCAAGTGTCTCTGACAGTCTTTCACGGCCCCCTCCCTTCCACTGCCTGCAAATAGTAGGTGCTTATTAAAGTAGATTGAGCTCTCGGAAGACCTTAGATGTTTAGGAGTCCTGACCGTAAGGTGGAGGGGAGAACCTGAGCTAAGTCCTTGAGACCCTGGTGATTTAGAAACCTCTCCCCTCTAAGAGTTCATTGTCTCACGTGAAAGACCTACATTTCCTCCTCTAGCAGAAGGTAGAGGAAGGAAAGAGCACAGGTGCCCCTTCAAGGTGGGGGCCCCATCTGACATTCAAGGTTGTTCCAAGGTGGGAGACTCATCCAACTAAGGAAGCAGAAAGGCTTTTCCAGGACACGGGAGTATGTGCTGGGCCTGGAAGGGGGAGGGGTGGGGATAGAACTCTGGCAGGTGAGTAAGATGGGCATTCCAGGTGAAGGTCCTGGCTTGGGAAAGTGTGGAGAGGGGGAGCAGAGGGTGTGAGTAGGGCCACAGAATAGAACCTGGAAAGGAGGGGGGCCTGCTGGGCAAGACTCCCTTGTGCCTAAGGTTCTGTCCAGCCTCAGCTCTGCCTCCATCCCCATTTTTCTGCCACCGATGCAGGATTGCTCCCCCGGACAGAGACTCTCCACACGGTGGAGATGATGGTAAATGTAGATCCCTTCCTTCCCTGCGCTCCTCTACCACCACGAGGAGCTACCTTGGAAATGGAGGTGGTTCCTGCCTCCCTTCCTGCTTTTCCATCTCCGTGTGGCTCTCTGCTTTGCTAGCCCTTCTCTTCTTTGTAAGATGTGTGCAGTCTTAGGATCTTGGCATCTCATGTTGCCTGAGAAGGTGTGAACACCTGGGTGAGGAGTGTGTGGGGCCATGCTTGGGTGCAGAGAGGCTGATGAGGGAGGCCTGGCAAAGGACTGTGGTGGCACAATGTCCCTGGACATTTGGAGGGGGGGCTTTGGAGCTCACCACTGCATGGCAGGTGGTAAAATCTGTACTATTGGTCTGACAAATTCAGCAATGTAGACACCCGTGTGAGAAGCAAACTCCACAGCCACTGCTACCCTAGGAAAGCCGGGCTGCTCACCTGCTCCCAGGCAGTACAGGGCACAGGGGTCTGTTATTCATGGTTAGAAGCTCGCACATGCCACACACGACTTTGCAGCACCAACTCCATGCATAGCACTGCCAAGCCACACAGCTCCTTGGTGGAGAGGGCAGGAATGTTTCGGCATCCCAGGCCCTGTCCTCCTACAAATGGAGGTTTTCAGAAAGCCACAAGTCACCTTCCTCATTTGACACTTGGGTAAACAAACCTGGAATAGTTTGTGACACACCTGACAACAATGGGGAAAAGACTAGAAGCTGAGCCTCCCTACTCACTGGCCAGTGCCCTCTCCTTCACGGGCCAAGCCTCCCTTTCCATGCCCGTGCCATTACATTCTACCAGGGGAAGTCAAGGCCCAGGGAAGGGATGCCAGTCCCCAGGCTCCTGTCCTGGCAGGGAAGAAATGCAGGGTGAGTCTGAGATGGTTCAGGATGTCAGGTATGGCAGGAGTCATCTTTTCCTCAATGAGGTGGGGCTTCCTTTGACCCACATGACGACAGAGGTTTAAGTGACCCACCTCTGTGTCATTACTGAGCTCTAGATCCCCCTGTTATGCTGTCATCCCTGTGGGCATGGGCTCAGGCATTTGTCAAGCCAGGTATTTACTATCAAGCCAGGTGTTTGCTAGTCTCCAGATAGACGGTGCTGGCAACCCCAATCCCCCTGTGCTCTTAGAAGGGGGCAAAGGGGTGTGAGCCAGAAAAGGCAACGATGGATCTCAAGCCCCAGTGCAAGGCCATACATTCACACTGAATGTTCGTGGACAGGGCTACTTTGGGGGCTGGGCAGGGCTGGCTCCTGGGGAAGGCAGCTCCTAACAGGAGGGACTGTGGGTCTCCAGGAGCAGTGAGTGTCTTTACCTTCCCTGAGTCCTCGTGGCCACCAGCCCCTCTCTGCCCTTCCTGACCCAGCCTCCTCACAATGAACCCCACTTCTTCTGGCACCTGATTACTCTCCCTCTCCTGATCTGCTGGCATTGGTGCTGAAGCTTAGCTACTCCAGAGAGTCTCAAACAAATTCTTCCTATTTCTAATCACTGCATTGGATGCAAACTTGAGTTAAATTGATATCCAAATAGAGAACCCCAGGGGAGCCCTCAGACAGGCAGTCTGTAGCCCTGAGGGAGGAGGTCCTGGCCGGAGGTGGGGTGGGGGTCCACAAGGCACCAAACCACTGGGGAGATGCTGGGCACACCTGGGCTCAAATCTCAGTGAGCTGCTCTCCCCCAGGGAGAGCAGTGTGGGCTCAGAACCTGGCCAGGCATTTCTTCTGCAACCACCTGCAGTTTGAAGTGAGATGGGCGAGGACCTTTTCCTACCAGCAGGTTCTCCTGCCCCTTTCTCTTACTGATGTTTCCTTGACTTTATTTTTAAACTTCTCCTTACACACATTTCTATTTTATGGCCTATATTCTTTTAAGGGACCTTGGCGCCTGCGTGATCTGGGCTGAGGAGGCATAAGTGAATTAGTGACACCAGATTGTAACAAAGCCAAAGAGGATTCTGTCTGCCCGGTATGCAGGGGTTTGGCTGACACAGAATTATCTCAGTTTCTGGAGCTTTCCAGCTAATGCTGGACTCTATGTTGAAATCATTCGTGGATTCTTGTTGCTCCAAAAAGGGCTTGGAGGAATGAAGAAGGGGTCTAGAAGAATCAGGTTAAGCTCAGCCCTCAGGACCTCAGACAGTGGTGAGAAGGGTGGCGTGAGAGGCGGCAGGAACCTGCACAGTCTGGGGAGAGCAAATCTCCAGGAGCAGAGGGTGTAGACAGGACCACACCATGACTTTCCCAGGCCCGGCACTTGTCTTTGTGGGCTCCTTCCTCCATAAAAATACTTTATGACTGCCCTGGTACAAAGATGAATATGACCCTGCCTGGATGTGTTACTTTATATTCTTTTTTTTTTCTTTCTTATGAGCCTAAAAGAAGTGAGAATTGAAATATGTTTGTCATCCCTAGAAGTACTGTGGGCGGAGCCGCATGCCACAGTGCCGATGGAGAAGCTGGCACTGGACTGAAGCTGGCTCAGGATGAGCAGCACCTCTGGGCTCAAGAATAATCAGAAAATGGTACATCTTGGAGCCCTCCCTCAACGGGAAAGGCAGCTTGTATCATCTGGCTGCTGGACCTGGGTCCCTGCATGCTTCTACCACCTGGGAAGGGACAGCTGAGCTCCATCTGATGACCATAGTGATCAGTACTAGTTCAATGCTTTGCTTTTCAAATGCAGTAGCCAAGACTCAGAGGAGAAAGTTGTCTGATTCCCAAAGTAACTGAATGGACGTTCAGAACAAGAATGCCGGTAAGGGCTAGGCAGTGTGGGTTCCATTAGCACAAGAGTCTGCGTGTGTGACTGTGACCTTGCAGCATCAAGGAGTCTTAGAGCTGTGAAGCCCACTCATAGACAGCTTGTGTGACTGTGTGGACAGAGTCTGGGTCTCAGCCTGCCTTTGTACTGTCTGTGAAGGGAGGCTATATAAAGAAAAGTGAAAATGAAAACAAAGTAAGAGGTGCTTAAACCACCCACGTAGTTTGTTATTTTAAGCCCTTAGAAGCACCAGTTTATGTTGTAAAACATTGAACAATAATAAGCCTGTAATAATTACTTAGTCTTTGAATTGGTTTCCTGAAAGCATTGCTAAATTGTGTACAGCAGCACCTGGAGTAATGTCTTATTATAACATTGATGAGGAAATAGAAATCCTGGCTGACATTGAACTAATGATGTTTTTCGAGGACCTGTTGTTTTAAGGCGAGGTTGCTTTGAAACAATTCTAAGAGCCTATTGACAAGCGAGAAATTACTGTATAATGACTAGAAAGCAGTAAAACTCTATTTCTTAAAAAATAAAAATGACTTTGGATCACCAATCTGGCCCAGATTGGTGAATGTTTTCTGAATGTTTTTGGAGAATACTGGCAGCTGAGGCAAATGCTTCAACTGCTAGTTATAGGTGGACCCTGCAAGTCTATATTCAATGAACAGCCATCATCAGCAATAGCTGGTTCCAGTGACTATAGTTCAAAAGTAAGAAAACCAAAAAACTACCCCAAGCCAAAAGCAGTAGCACATAGCCCTTGGTAATCCTGGGGGTTCTGAGGGTTCCAGCACAACTGAACCTTAAATGCTCAGATGTCACCGTAATGATCTTGGGATGTTACAATGGACGTTACTTAATAGAGCCCCCTCTTCCCTCTGTTGGACCTAACATTTCAAAATATCATACTTGTGAGGTCCTCTGTTGCTGGACTTCCTGCTTTCACACCAAAGAATGTATTTAATGGAATGATTAATCAGGATCATGAAATGCCATGTTTCATTTTTTTTTTTTAATAATGAAAATCCATAATGGTTTAAAATGTTCTTAGACACACCTAGCTTGGCAAACACCATAGACCTCCACATTTCTGTGAATTCACACAAAAGCTAGCCAGCTCCCTGGTGTGGCTGATCCCTTTTGGCACCTGAACAAAATAATTTATTAAGCTTCAATACTCAATAAGTGTGCACTGATATCATGCAAACATATGACCATACTCACAAACAAAAAGTGTATTAGTGTTATAGTCTTATACAAAACATCTTGTAAACAAGGGAAGAGGTTGGTATTTTCTGTACAAATGTGCAGATTTTTCTATTTTTTTAATAATCTGTAAGATACATCAAACTTCTGGCATTTTCAAAAAGTGAAAACTGTATAAAAATAAATATTCTATGTACAAACACACATACAGGCCAATTCCAGGTTAGAGGCATCACTGCAAAACAAAAACAAACACAAGACAGCACAGAGTTAGTGTCATGGGTCTGTGGGTGTTTAGTTCACTCATGGGAAAGGAGGAAGATCTTATACTGGGTTGGAGGGGACTGGGGGGACCTTGGCGCTTCCCTTTCCCTCTCGCCCCCCACCACCCCAGGGCTGATGGACAGCATCCTGAGGGTGGGAGACCACCTTCAGCTTCCAGTGACCCCCTTCTTGGCCACCAGAGGGCGCTTTCTCTCCATGCTGCAAGTGAGGCCTGATGTTGACTGAACCACAGCATCTCCCAGACTGAATTTATGGTGTGAACCAACATACATAACCTTCTCAAGCTGCTTCTCCAAGACAGTTTAGCTCTATAGCCATTGTTCTTGTTCTTTTACTAAGCTAAACCATTTCTATCTCCTAACTATGCAGCAACGATCAAGAAGAAAATCTTTTCCTTTGGGAGTAAGAGAATGGGGGTCTTATTTGAAACAAATAAGTGTCTGTGGAGATTCAACTAGGTTTAGGGGGATCACCAAGAGGTAGAAGCACAGTGGCTGGGACAGGTTAATTTCTATTGAGTGTTCAGCTTTTCCTTTCTGTGGTTAGGGGGTGCTTTAAGTTACCCGGGCAAGTAGGTACTCAACCTAGGGCCCTGAGTTTGGGATGGTTTCACTACTGTCATCCAATATCGAGAGCTAATAAGATTCTGGGCAGTTAGCACAGAATTTATATATCTCCTTTTAGTCTGACCCTGCCGTCATTGGAATAAGACTGGATTAGCTAAACACAAATTCTTAGACAGGTTGGGGTCTCCGGTCCTTTTGTTAGAATGAACCAACATCCCAAGACCATGGTGCCGAAGGCTGCAAGGGGTCTTTGAGGAGCAGGGGAAGGGAAGGTAGGTTGTTGTGGGGGGGTGCTGTGTGGCAGCAGCTGCTACCCTTGTTGGGGACAAAGCTGGGCTTTTGGATTAGCCAACCAAAGACCCTTGTCAGTCTGGGGAGCACTGTGTTATGGGGGAGTGGCCGAGTGGGGTGATTTTGAGCAAGGACAAAACCCCATGCTGTCAGGCAGTTTTAATGAGAACAGGTACGAAGACAAGTGTGAATCAATGAAAACTCATTGCTGGACGGAATTCTGGGAACCAGAGAGAGGTTGGGCTGCAGACCTCGTGTGTGGAAGCGTGAAGCTTGACAGCTTAGGTTCAAGGGGAAGTTGTGTGTTGGCCAGGCTCTGTGAGGAGGTACAGAAGCCAGGTGAGTTTATTATAGCTTAAGCACCTTCTATTTTCTACATCTGGATAAATGTCATTGTATGGCTTAAATGATCTCATGTGGATGCTGCACGTATAATTAGTGATAACTAATTTTAAAACATGGCCCAGCGCTCTTTGGAGGCCAGGTCCTGTGTAAAATGAGCCACACAAGCATAGAGATGTGTGGCCACATGGGGTTTCCCTACACTGAGGTTTGCTGATGCCTTGGAAAACATTTTAAGCATTCTTCCAATGCCTGCGGTGTTCACTGGGCATCCTGCCTTCGGGATTGTTCCTTTTCAACCCAGGTCTTACTGCCTCATCTGTAGAAAGGCTCAGGATGAAGTGTGCATGCTTATCACACTGCTGTTGAGAGGGGCCCCAGGTCCACCTGCAAGCCACGGGAAGCCTTACCTTGTTCCAGCAGCCCTGGACTGGTAGGCCATCTTCGCCCTGCAGGGAGGAAGGCAGATGGCTCAGTCTCTTTGGGATGGCCCACCTGCAGGCAAGACAGGGGAACAAGGACCACAAAAGTCGTGGTCCCTGATCACGTTGCCTGCTCTTGCCTATTTCTTTTCTCTATCTCAAGTCAGAGCCTCGGAAGGAGGCAGGAAGCAAGTCTGTCTGTCTGTCTACTCATGTGGTTGCAGTGCAAGGTCAAGAGGGTCTGTCCTAGACTGTGGAGTCAGCAAGTAGAGCTGTGGAAAGAATAACCTGGAGGCCCACTGGCCTCTGCCCAAGCTCTGCTAAGTTCTGGGGGCTTATGGGCAAGGGATCCAGCATTGGGGGCTTCAGTCCTCCTTTGTAAACCTGGGGAAGGCATGGCTGTGTGAAATGCCCCCCTCCCACTGCCCAGTTCTCCCATTCTCTGAGATTTCTTTCTCAGCAGTGGGACGATGAAATGCAGGCAATCGGGAGGAGCAGGGGGTAGAAAAGATCAGGCAACTTCACAGGTACTGCACCATGGCCCCCAGGAGCCTTCGGGTGGGAGGCACAGGCGTCTGGCACACCTTAGCCATGGCTTCGAGTTTGGGGAGGAGATCAGTAGCAGGATGGGACTCAACTGTGTGCTATTTGTCGCCTTTGCTGCAGACAGCCGGAGCACCTGTGGCTTCAGGATGTCCTGAGTCATCTCAGGTCCTGACATTTGGCCTCTCTCATGTACCCTGGGGAAATCTACAAATTTTGGAGAGACAGGAGGGCATGGTAAGGCTGATCAGGGCCAAGATCTGGTTCGCAGCCCAGCTTCTAGAACTGCGGGCTCCAGGGCAGAGAAAGATGGACACAGGGCTTCAGGGGCTTGGATTGAGGGGTCAGTCTCAATGAAGTTGAATGGAAACCCCCTGAGTCCTGGACCAACTTCAACCTTTTCTCACTGGGCATCCAGCCGGCAGCCGGCCTCACTCGGAGGCCTGAAGACGACTATTATCCCAGGCTAAAATCATGGCAGTAGTTCCCTGTGCCTCCATGTTCACAACAGCACAATAGCGGAGGCAGGTTAAAGGAGAACAAGATAGGAAGATATGTACACTTCCACAGCAAAATTAATAGACAAGCGAACACATTAATATGGAGTGTTATTGGAGAAAATGCCTATTTGCATTAAGGGTCAAATAAGATGGGCATCATTTTCCCCTCTGGGTCAGGGAAGGTGTGCAGGGGGAGGTTGAGCATCCCAGGGTTTCATGAAGACCCTCTGCCCCCACCCCAGCCCACGTGGTGGGATGCTTCCCACAGATTCTGGAAGGGAGAGGAGCCTCCGCAGGCCACAGTGGCATTCCCATTGGCACATGGCCGGGGCTGGGTAGGTGGGGAGAGGAGGGTAGGGCAGGCAGAGGAGAATGCTGATGTGTGGTGAGGAGCAGGGAGGCCAGGGCTGAGCCCAGAGAACTCAAGTAGTGGGGAAGGATGCGGCAAGGAGGGGCCTGGCTCATGATCAGTGGAGGGGCTTTGGAGGGAGAGGAAATCCCCACTGAGTCAAGTGCTGTTCATGCTGCATGCTTGGGGTTCAAGAGGCCGGTCAGTGGGGATCTGGGGGTGGTGAGCAAGCATTTAGCAGTGGGGGACAGGAAGCATGCTCCTCTGCCTGCTCGTTCTGGCTCTCTTTTGTTGCACAGACTGGTTCTAAAAAGCCCCTTCAAGGGGCTCTATGGGTACTTCTTGGGTCACTCCACAAATTTTCTTATAAAATTTCTCCTCCAAAAAGGAGAAAATCCAGAAAGGATTCCTGTGTGGCTGTGGGGTGGGGATGTAGGGATGGGAATTCTTATCTGTTACTGGTATGAAGATAGTTATGAATTCTGAACTTCCTGGGGAAATCTAAGAGACCAGGAACCTTTTGACCCAATTGTCTTGGAATGACATGTCCTCTTCTGCTTCCCTTGCATCAGCTGAAAGCCTGGCTGGGGAGCTGACAATCACCCTGCCCAGAGATGGGGCCCATTGGAAGCACAGCTGCTGCCACTTAGGCCAGGACATGCTTACAAGAGGGAAATTAATGCTATGTGTCTCCCCCACCCCCCGCCTCCCTGGCTCCTCCCTTCTCTTCCTTAACTGCATTCTTTCCAGTTTCTTCTAGACTTTTTGATGGTGAACCATTTTCCTTCCCGCGAAAGAAAGGGAAACAAAGTGAGGGTCTTGTGACACCTTCTGTCATTTAAGCAAAAAGATGAGCCCTTTAGGATCTAAAACCTGGATCTGGGACTATCCCCTAGTTCTGATGGGGTCACCATTACAGTGACCCCAGACTCAGCCTGGGAGATTGGGCCAGGAAGCCTCCCTGTCCTACCTTAACTTTAGAACTCCTCAGTTATCCCATGTTTATTAGTGTGCCTGAGTCTTGCAGCAAATTTTGATATGCTGGCATGGGGAGGCATGTGTGTTGACTCAGGCATCTCCCTTAAATATTTTGCCAGGTTCTCAGTCAATACTTGTCCAATGAACTGCGGGGTGTAAAGGAAGAGAAGTCATAGTTCTGGGAACATCTCTTGAGAACCTACTTTCCTGGTGTTCTTTCTGTGGCAGATTCATCTACAAGCAGTTTCCTAAGGCGGATTCAAGGCAGCCAATGCTGCCTTTGGGGTGGAGAGGGATGGCTCAGTTAAGGCCAAGTGCTTTTGAAGCAGCTGCAGGAGGAAACCAAGAAAACATCCTGGACACACTTTGCATGCAAGAGAGTGTGTGTCAGGAGCCGCCATGGATTCCCAAGGCAGGTGACCCTGGGAGTCTACAGAGTGAAGAGGCAGGAGGTGGAGATTGGATGGATGGATGGATGGATGGAGCAGGAGGAGCGTGGAGAGGCACACAGCCATGGACCACACACGTGGGAATCCAAATCGGCCATGCAGGTGAGGGAGGGAGAGGCCATACCAATGGGCACGGGGCATCCAGTCCGTCCAGCCCTGGTAACCCCGGCTCCCCTTTCTCTCCTTTAAAACCTCGGTGTCCCTGTTCACAAAACCAATCACGATGATTATGTAGGTCAAGGCTGGCCAGCTCCAACTGGGGCGTGGTCAAGCTCAGCCCCACCCTAGCCAGGATGCAGGACTTTTGAGGTATCTCCAAGTAGGACCCAAACTCCAGTTGATTCCCATCTCCCTAAGTCAACCATTGTGCTCCCATTGGCTTCTGGGAGAGTTGAGCTTTGGAACATGTACATCCAGCTCCCTCTCCATTTAAAGGCTTGCTTTAAAGCAAACACTCATGAACTTCAACTTGAGTGCATCATAACTTTCAGAACTTTCAAATGGCCTTCAAAATGCACTTGATGTGCCACAAATCATCATTTATTGGCTCTCCAGGGAAGGTGTCCTGTGTGTATCTTTCTACTGATTTGGATCTGCAGCTTTCCAGGTTTTTGGTGGCTGGCTGGCAAGCATCGGGAGGCTGTCTATCGAAAGCCTCCTTCCTGCTCCTTTTCCGGGCCGTTTTGGATATGGGTGGCCCTCTGGAGATGCGAACCCCAGCGTCCTGCATCCTGGCCGAGTGAGGATCCAGACAGCTTGTGCTGCCAGCCACAGAGTGGCCACAAAGCAAAGAAGGCAAATACAGGCTCCCAGACGCCAGTCTGGGTCCCTGGACTAGTGAGCCGAGAGCCCTTTGGTCCAAACCCTTTTCCGTGGTTTCTCATTTCCACACATCAGTCTTCAAAGGAAAGGGATTTAGCCAGAATTACTTGCAGCTGTGGCTTTAGGGCAACACCAACAGCAGGCAAAATTTCACCAGCCCAAGGGACAGATAGAATTTGGTGGTCAACGTGGTCATTCAGTTCTCATCTAAGTTTATTTGCCTTCTTTGTTTCCAACTTGCAAACCTCAAGGAAAAAAAACAAAATAATGCAAGAGATAAGTGCACATACCAACGGGCAGGGGGCATCTAATCCAGGCGCTCCTTGGTCTCCCTTATCCCCTTTAGGCCCTCTAGAGCCTTTCTTCCCCCTCTCCCCCTGTAAATAATGGTTTAGTCCAAGAGAAAAAAAAACATCAAAACTTTAGGGTCATTCTTGTGTTAAGGTTAGAGACAGAAAAAGGAAAAAAAATCAAAGAGGGGAAAAAATAGCCTCTCTCAATGAAGACAGTCTCAATGGGAATTGGGGTCAGTACCTATTCCCATACCCTGAGAACCTGAGAAATTGGCTAAGGTAGGTGGGGAGGGCCAGGGGGCAGTGCCTGGAGGTGGAGGACAATGCAGATGGAAGATTCTGGTGGCTGGCTTGGCTAGTGCTGAGCCCTGAGTGGTTCTGCAATGACTAGGGGACCGGCTGCCTTCCCTGAGAGTCCTTTCCTGAAAGGCTTTGGTCTGACAAGTTTTGTCCCAATTTTTTCTCATCCTTTGTTTTCTATTAGGAGGCAGGATGATTTTGTTTCGCACCCTGGGGTGAGTGCATGCATTGCGTAAACACAGCTCTCAGGTATGTGCGTGTGAGTGTGAGTACATATATGTGGGGATAAGCTTGTTCATGTGTATTCAAGTGTGTGCGTGCACGTGTGTGCACATGTGTGTATGCACATGTGTGTGTGCCCAGAGCTCGTGGAGGCCCCTGCTTCTCAGCCAGGTCCTTCCATTCCATATGTGTCTCTGGTGGGTCTTGGTCAGAAGTTATAGGCGGCTCTTTGTGCTGGACATTCATTTGTTCCAGAAATTCATTTGTTTCTGAAAACCTTCAGTAAACATCTTTCTAAATTGAATCCTATTTTGTATGTGCCGGGTCATGCCCCATTTCAAGAAGGGCTGTGGGGATTCTTTGTAATGGATTTGAGTGGGGGTTTTCATATATTGGATTTCCTTATATATGGGATGGGGGTGCCCACGGAATCGTCCCGGCATCTTGCCACATCTACAGAAGGCTGAGCATGTAAAGCTTGGTGGCTTCAGGGGTGTTACTCAAGGACCAGGAGGCAGGTGGCAGCTGAGCCAGAGCAGGTTCTGCCTGGCACGCACAGTGACTTGGGGTGACTTAACCTCCCTGTGTCTCAGCCTCTTTGCTGTGACATGTGGCTGATGACACCTGCCTGGAAACATGGTGGGAGGTCTTTGTGCACACAGTGCTTATTCTGGCCAATAGCACATGCTCAGGAAGTGACGCCATGTCCCCATGGCGACCACACCCCTGCTTACTGCTGTGGCAGTGTGGGAGCCAAGGCTGCTGCTGGAGGCGCTGTCTTGGGTCAAAGTGATGACTGTGTTGGGCTTTTCCTTGATTTAGAGGCTTTATTACCATGCCTTCACATTTCCCCTCGAATGCCCTGCTAGGGCCAGTGGTATAAAGAAGCCTGGAGGAGGGGGCGAGGTTAGGGGGCTCTCGTCAGGACATTCGGGCATTCCCTCAGTGGGCGGCAAAGGATAAGAATATTTTTCATGTTTCCTTGGATCTTTGGCAATGATCCAAATTACTTGATTCCAGAGGTTGCCAGCAACTGCCAATGCATTGTTCTGAGTGTTCTAAAATACCCTTGCTTATATAGAAAATAATATGTGTCTAAAAGGAAACAAGGCTATGACTGTTAGGTGTGATGGCTCTGGCCTTGAGCTCTGCCCCCTCCCCCGCAGTGAGAACATCTTGGCAAGAGTAATTCCTAGTGGACAAGCAGGAGCGCCAACTGTTTGGATGGGGACGCCCCATGGTAAACTCTCAGGGATGTAGCACTTCATTGGGTCAGACCAGTGTAAAAGTGAGCATGGTTTCCTAAGTGCAGATGTGGGCAAAGCTCCTAGAGGGTGGGGGATTGCAGGTCCCCCTGATTTGCCGGAGGGTAACAGGGTTGGCCGTGGTCCTGCCCTTCAGGATGGGTGACATGATGGGGCATCATGTTCTAAGGGCACAGGACATGGTCTTATTCTGTGAGTCCTTTGAAGACATTAGAACAGTCATGTTACCTCCATCCTCCCTGCTTCCCATGCCCGAAGAACTATATAGGAAGCCCTGGAGAAGAGGGAATTCCAGCTGGTGAGGGGAAGGGGTGAATACAGTCAAGTAGCAGTGATTTGCTCAACAAAATCAATCAATCAGTGCATAAAATGGATTCTAGGGCCTCCCCTGGTGGCGCAGCAGTTGAGTGCTGGGCTGTGAAGCTGCCTGCAGCTGCTGCAGCGCCGGTTCGATCCCTGGCCACCGGCGAGGGTTCCACATGGTGTGCAGACCTTTCCTGCCACGCCCGCTGTTCCCCTCAGCGGTGTACTTCGTCGGTCTGCCTGTTCGGTTCCCCGCTCTGGCTCTGGTGAATTCACTCACCCTCCTGTGCTTCTGACTATACCCAGTGCTTATATAAATAAATAAATAAATCTTTAAAAAAAAAGGATTCTAGTGGAATAATTTAGGCTGGAAAGTGGAAGGGAAAGGAGAGATATGGTGTTATTATATATAATGGGATGGACATATCTAGGGGGAGAAATATGGGAGTCAAGGAAGGAAGGGGAAGCCCAGACCAAAAGAGATAGAAGAGGAAGAAGAGGTAGAGAGGCCAAGGGAGCCTGGGGAAGCGAGACCCACTCGTGCACCCCACATGCATGTACACCACAGGCATGCATGCCCACACACATGTACACCACATGCAGACACGTCCACACCCATGCAATGCCCACCCACACACATGCACATCAGTATGTGTACACCCACATACATGCACACCCCCCACGCACACCCACACGCGTGCACACACTCACATGAACATCCACACCACACACACCCAGGGTGGGGCCTCCCTGAGGCACTCAGATCTTTCAGTTGGCTTGCTTGCAGGCAGCTCCATAATACCACCCAAACTGCTAAAATCTTGCCTTTCAAAGGTTTTTGAAAACCTTTTTCATCCTAAAAGTTGGCTCCTGGGTCAAATTCAGAGAGCTGTTCAGGGACAAGGGAAGTGCCTTTACTGACACGGGGTGACATCTTTCCCATTGGCACAATGTGTCTTAGAAAACTCCTCATTTTGAGTGCTCGGCCTTGACCACCACTATGGACCCTCCTTCCAGATAGAAGAGAGACACTAAGGGCCTCCTCTGACAGGGCCCGCAGAGCATCCCTGTAAGGCCATGTCCAGCTCACTGTAAGACAGGACAGCAGGCTGTGGTATGGTCTTGGAGCCTCTCTGATGGGTAACTCGGGCCCCTTGTGGGGTCAAGGTGGGAGCTGCCCCACCTGCAGCCCTGCTCCCACAACTGGGGGGATAGAGAACTTGAAACATCTCCAATTTCACATTCATAAGTGACAATAAAGCTTCTGGCCAGGATGCTATTAAAGCCTCTGGCCTTTTCTCTTGACCAAAGCATCAATTCTGAGCTTCCAGCCATTGGAAAAAACTGTCCATGGCTAAATGCTGACTCTGCCTGGACTTCCCTTCATTTTGGAGGTTTTATTACTAAGCTCTCACATTCCCCCCACAAAGCCCTGTTGGGCGCCAATAGTGTAAAGAGTTCTGAAGGAGGTGAGCTGTAGAAGGCACCCTTATGGGACATTCTCACAGCCTGAGGATCAGATCTCTTGAATGAGAGAATTATCTGTTCCTTGATCCAGAGACTGCTCTTTGGAAGAAGTAAATGGTTGTTCAGTGTGCTTTCAAAAGAAGGTTCATGCAACCAGTCTGCTGGCTGGACTTGACTTTGACCAAGTGACATATTGCCAACTCGTATGTGAGATGAGCAAAGTGTGTGAGACCTTAGAAAGAGGGAGTGGAGAAGAAATGTTTTCCCACTTATTTTTGGAGCCTCACTGGTTTGTTCAATGATCTCGATTCCTTAAGCATCAGAGCCACAGCCTCTCCCCGCCCCTCCACCTGTGTCAAGGGCATTTGCCTGCCCTGCCGCCACCTCCAGAGAATCACAGTTACCACCACTTGAAGGACTGCAGCCTCCAAATGGGTCAGTGCCTCAAGCCAACTGAAAATGTCTTAAGAAATAGGTTAAAAATATTAGTTGAATGTAAAGAAAATCAGATCACTTTAGAAATAAATTAGAAAGGAGGTTAGTATGCCAACTGAGAGGTGGAATGATCACATTGTCAGTGGCCTAAATTCTGGGTGTGGTCTTCCCATGGACAGTCCAACAGGGGCAGCTCTGCCTGATCCCTTCTGTTCATAGAATATGTGGGACAATTTGAGTTGCTTTTGACCAGCTGCCAGAGAGAAGAATCTAAGGATAAAGAAATGCTTAAAATACATCCTAGATTGAAGGGATGGAATTGGTGCTCAATATAAGCATGCTGATTCTGGTACTTTCTATTTATGAACTTGATCATTGGTGTTCAAATATAAGCCAGAAGACCTGGGTTCTAGAAACCTCCTACTCTGTCTTAATACTCTGGGTGCTCAGTGCATTTTATCACGGTTCTCCCCTTTGTTTCTCCATCTATTCTTCCTGCTCCTCCTCTGCCTCTAAGACCCTTGAATATTATGACTCAAGAGAAGATGCTCTTGGCCTCTAGGGGGCGTGTGACACATTTAATGAAGCAGCAGAGGACAGGTTAGAAAGGAGCCCAGGAGTAGGTCTGGGTCAGCTGCACTTAAATGATCCTGGCTGGATCTGTGCTGGAGGGCATGACACGTGTCATATACCTCACGAGACGGTGGGCGCTGTGGACATTCACCAGCTGTGTCCTGGTGGACACGGCAGAAACCAAAGGGAGAGCAAAGGGCTTGAGAAAGCGCAATTCATTTCGTAGTCCTGCCCACTTGTTCTAAGAGAAATAAAGGCTGCGATTTAAAAAAAAAAAAAAAAAAAAAGGTTCGCTGCTTACAATAGCTATCTGCTTGTTCTTGAAACTGGAATTATTTTCTCTCTCACCAGTGGCCTGGGATGCCGGGTGAAGTCAAGTTTCAGAAGACTAAGACTAGGTAGCGATAGATTTAAAAATAGGACCAGGAAAGAGACTAATTATAATAAAGTAAAAATCAACAAGCAACTATAAACCAGAGACACACTATGGGGAGGGAGTAGGATCAAAACAAGGCGGGGTGGGAATTGCATGGGGACTATAGCCAAGATGAAAATGCATACATTGTGCAAAAATGAAAAATGATGTAAAAAATATATAAAATTAAAAAAAATCAAGTAAATAAATAAATAAATAAAAATATCATTTAGGTGCCCATTTTCAGGCCATGTGGCTCAGTCCCGGATACAAAGCTAATCTGGTGGCCACACTGTTGTGTGGAAAATTACTTGCTTCAATTTCAGGATTAGGCTCCAGGCTCCCGGCATGCCACAGATTAGGCCCCTCACTATAAAGACTTTTAATTTAGGATGATTTCTCAGGAAAAGCTCCATTTGCATGTTGGGTCAGGAATCCCCAATTGATCATTCCGCCACATCATGAAGACATTAGTAATGAGCCAAAGTGCACGGGCTCAGACTCACCCGGTTTCCTTTGTCCCCGGGTGGTCCATGTAAACCCTGCAATAAATCAGAGAAATAAAGACACATTAATGAGAAAACACAGGATGACCATCCAGTCCTTCCTTGCAGGCTCATAAGGCTCTTTACTGATGCCCGAGTCGCTGGAGACAGTCCCAATTATCCCTGCTTTACAGAAGGGAGACAAAGAAGAAAACTACTCAAGGAACTTGACCTAGAGGCTAACAATGAGTTATGGGCAAAGCTAAGGACACGGCTTAGATTTTCTGGTTTGGCAGCCAGCGGCCTGGCCTGTGGCTGTGTCCTTCTAGATGTCCACCCTGGAGGAGTGGTGGGTTCTGAGGACACAATATGGGCACCAAAAGTTCTTCGTGGTGCGGGAGAGCAGGTGTTCACGGAACTCTCTTTCCAGGCTCTTGCTAGAAAACTGAGTCCAAAGCTTATCAGACTCTCTTTTCAAGGTGTGAGCTGCTACCCATGTCCTCAGCAGGGCAATGAGCACAGGCCAAGACGGGCTGGAGCTGCTACGTAGCCCAAGCCAAGCCACCCGAGCAGTAAGCATGGCACCAGCAAACAGCTGTACAACATTCAGTGGGAAGCAAAAGTCCTGACTCTCTCCTAATACAGCAACAGGAAGACTGGTACAGGTAGAAAGCTGGCTCCCCAGGCAAGCTGCAGCCCCCGTGAAGCATCCGCTTCTTGCATTGCCATGATCCATGTGATTCTGCCGCATGTTGATGGTGAGACTCCCCTCTGCCCAGAACTCGAGGCTTAGAGTGGAAGGGGCTCATGGCATGCTCCATGTGGCCAAGGACCTGGTTCCCCAACAGGGGGACTTTTGTGTTCCCGAGTTCCCTCAAGCAGTGTCCAGCAGGGAAGTTCTAGCATGTGGACCAGCTGACTGTGGGCAACTTCCTCTGTCACAGAAGTGAAATTCGCACTTGGCCCTAGATATTTTGCAGCAGACTCTGGGTATTTCGTTGTGATAGTGTTGTAGTTGGGGGGCAGAGATGGGTGGAGAGATGCCTCTGAGCCCATGAGACTTACAGGAAGCCCAGCCGCTCCCATTGGTCCTGTCATCCCAGGGTCGCCTTTGCTGCCCTGAAACAAGAGAAAGAAACCCATGAGCCCTCCCTGACAGGTGAACAACTTCCCATCAACCACTTTCTGTTTCCCTATGAAACCCAGGTAGTGTCTCCATCCCCTAGAAGAGCCCTCCAGAAAGCGAGGCTGAGGAGAGGGGTGACTGGCAGGGACTCTGCTCAGGGAGAGGGGGTTTAAAGTCCTCCTCCTCCCTCCTGAAGAGCCTTTCCCCAAGGCCCTCTAGAACGACCAGGCAGTGTCTGCAAGGAGGGGAACAAAGAGGCTAAATGGACATGGGTAGGATAGCAGGGGAGAGGAAAGGGATGAGAAAGAGCTTTGCTTTCTTCTTTCAAGTTGCAAATGTTGGTCCTCAGGGCAGCCATCCTGGTTCCCCACAGGAGTGGTGATCTCTGGGAATCCTATGCTCAGCTCCAGGAGCTCCCCAACTCCATCTGTGCTGTCCAAGGGTAAGGGAGCAGAGCCTCCCTGATGGAGCCAGGTTGGGGTGGGGCAAGAGTGAAGGGAGAGCTGCTCACACAGCAGAGAGCTGGGTGATGCCCACTCAGAGGCCCAGATCTGGGATCTCAAGCCCTGAACATGTGGCAGCAGGCTCTGGCTAGGAACAGGTAATGCCCATGCCTCCACTCTAACCTTGTGTGGGCCTGGGGAGACAGTGCCGGTGGGAGCTGGCCCACTGCACAGCCTCTTGATTTCTTGCCGTGCCCCCAGTGTTTTAATACACCTGGCACTTCAGTCCATGCTGTCTCTAAGCTCATGAGTGTCTGGTGACAGCAGCACGTGGGAGTTGCCAGGTTGAGCCTGTGACTGACACCAGGTGGCCAGAAGCCAAGTGGAGGAAACTCCCTTCATAGATACAAAACTGAGCACTCAGTTAACTCCCCCACAGGATATTGTGAGGGTCACTAGGACAGACAAATGACGTGCTGGCTGGTCTAGGAAGACGGAGTGAGAGTTGGGACTGTTGTGTCTGGCTTGGTGGCCCTGGGGTGCCAGGCGCCAGGGCTGAGGGCCCTGTCCCCTCCTCCTGGTCACCCTGTTCCCAGCTCGTTGAGTACTCACCCTCTCGCCCTTTGGTCCTGCTGGGCCTGGAACTCCAATTGGTCCTGGAGTACCCTGGGGAGGTGAAGGAAAGCAAAGGTGAGGATCCTGACTTTGAGGGAGTCCTGGGAGCCCCTCCCAATGCCTGGAGAAGAGCAAGGTCCAGAGGCCCAGTTTTCAGGGTTGGCGAGGCCAGGCTCGTTGAGGGCAGTCATTCATTTGACTGGACGGTGTTCCTGTTTGGGTTGGGGGCCTCGGGGAGAGAGCACCTCCCCCTGCCTCAGAGCCAGATTTGAGGAAGGAAACCCTTTGCTTCACAGCCAAGCTTGCCAAGGCTGAAAACGGTAGGAGAACGGTTGCTTAGTTTGCTCCCAGAAGCGCTTGGGAGGGAGTTGATGCCATCCCAGGGGTGGGGGAGCTGGGGCTGCACCTTTGCTGTCGCAGCTCCACATGCAGCAGGAGGGTCTTCATGCCACAGAGACCGATGCAAACGCACACACAGAGGCAGGCGTGGGGGGGGGGTCATTCAGCCACAGCCCACCCCACCGCCCCCACGGCAGTCCCCGCCACCTTCAGCCTCTGCCAGGGCCTTCTCTCCCCGCTCCCAGGCTTCCCCCAGTCCCAGGCTGGATTGAGAGTGAATTAGTACGCTTCAGAGGTGCTGACACTGGCCTAGCAGGGGGGGCTGGGGGGCAAAGGGAGTTGGAGCAGGGCTTAAACTATGGCGTGAACACCTCCCCATGTTCCCTGTTTACAGCCAACTAGACAGAGTCTGATTCCAGGGCTTCCTATGGCTCTGCCTCGGTGTTTATACTTCCTGTTCAGACACGAGGACGTGCGGCTGGGTCTGTGGGTGGTTCCCGATGTTCTGGGGGTAGTTGTGAAAGGGGGTGTGAGCAAGTGGGGAAATGTTGATTTCTTTATGTATTAAAAGAGGAAAAAAAGAGCAATCAGGTGTTCTTGGTGCCCTCTGTGCAACTGTGAGGGAAGGGGAATGTTGAGGGTGTCTGTGACATGAGCACATTAGGTAACAAGTGGCCAGATCAAGGAAATGGTTCGGATCAGGACTCCCCAGTCCTTGGATGACTCCCCAGGTCCTGCCTCGGAAGGCCTGTGAACTCTGCCATGTTGGGGAGGTTTCTTGGCCACTCTGAGGTTCAGTTTTCCCACCTGTAAAATGGGGATGATACCGAGTCTGCTCCCAGGCCATCTCCGGGTTAAGAGGACGAATGCATGTCACACATCCGGTGCCGGGGCTGGCACTGAGGAAGTGTCCCACAAATGTTAGTACAGCAGGGCAGGATTATGTTTACCATAAACATTTTTTTCCCTCGAAGATTATGATACTAACTTTATGAGAAATAGAAAACCTCAGGTCCAAGGGCGTGTGAATTTGGTGTGCTCACTTCTGTCCAATATGAGTGGAATAAAGCACTCGAGAGGAAAGTCTTGGTTTCTCTGATTCCAGCCACAGATCAGCCCCCAGCTCTGACTGGCCACCTGGGGCAGGTGTGCTGGGTGCAAGGAGGATGGAAAGGGAGGGCAGGGCATATGGTGGAGGAGCAAAGCCATGACCAAGCCCGCAAAAAAAGGGTGTGTTCTCTGTATGGGAGTCCACAGGGTCAGCTCCATAAATGCATGGCAGGGAAGGGTTCAGAAAAGATGTCATCTTGGGCCAGCTATGTCACCTCTTCTTCCTTGTGAAGGCACAGAACAGGCACCCATAGGGCAAGGCTGAATGGGGTTGCTCTCGGGCTTCTTGCTCTAAGTGCTCTAGCTTTCTGTTGTTATCTGTTCTGAGCACCCCTCCAGGACCCCAGGAAGGCCTGTCGCCTTTGTGCATTGACATCTCCCTTTACCCTGTCTGAGTGTCACTTAAGCCAGTTCATGAGAATCTCATCTTCTGTGTAGATCATGCATCTGTGGCCTCAAGGACAGAACCCCAATTCTGGCTGGAATGGCCGGGGACACATATAATTCTGGTTAGGACTTCCGAGCAGGGAAGTCTAGCCCCTAGATCACAGATCACTGATGATCAGTGATCTGAACAGTGTGGGGAGGTGACAGGCTTAGGTGGAGGGCCACGGCCCTGAAGACCTCACAGGGGGCTCGGGAGGGGGCTGGGAGGGAGAGAGAAGGGACATTTTCTCTGATGTTTGAGCTGTCAGTCTCACAAAGGGCCAGGTGCTTTTTCAGTCATGAGTAGGGAATGCCTGTTTTCTGGAATCAGGAAGATTGAAAAAAGAGAGGACCCAGGTGTCCTTTCTCTGTAGTAACCCCCTTGGGGGCTGCAGGACAACTGTGGCTGTAACATGACCACAGAACACTGAGCTGGGACTGGGCTGTGAGTCCCTATACACTACGCCTGTCCTGACCTGTCAGAGTTGCCCCCACCCCAACACACTGTACTGGTGGCTACACAGGACCAGGAAGCCTTTGTGGGCAGAAAGGAGAGGGACAGAGCTCACAGCATGAAGACGACACAGCATGATGGGGCACATACAGACACTGTTGCTTTTGCGGGGGTGAGTCATGGCCCCAACCTGCAGGCTGGGTTCCCTGTGCCGCTCCAGCAGCCTCTCATCCTGCATCTAGTGGTCTGGAAATTCAGATGTGAGAACCCTGAGTGCAAACTCTGGACAGGGGGTTCAGATGGAGGCCAGCTGTCTTTGGTCAAGACACCTGAACATGCACTTTGGGACTGAGCATGGGGCACCTTTCTGGTGTCAGTGGTGGGGTAAGGCATGACTCACTGGGGAAACAAGGCCACAGTGGGGCAGACGAGAGGGCGCAGGGCCAGGGATGGGGGAGGGGGGGAGGGGAGGGGTAATGGAGAAGACACTCACCGGTGGCCCAGGCCTGCCGTCCAAACCTGAAGCTCCCTGGACAAAGGGAACAGTTGGACCAAAAGAAGGGGAAGGGAGGAGGGGGAGGGAGAAAAAGGGACCGGGAGGGAAGAGGTGAGTGAAGCAGTGACTCTGGACAGACATACATGCTGGTAATCAAACAAAACGGGAGAAATAAGCTTGGGAGGACGGGGAACGGTATTCACATGAAAACCAACAAAAACATGGAGACGCTGAGTGCAGTGTGGCCGACTGCGGAGCAGGCTGGGTGGAGGTCAGAGCAGAGGCTGTGCTGATCCTCTGTGCCCCCTGCTCCCCTCTGTCCTCTCTGTCCCCGGCCCAGAAACTCCTCTGCCAAGGGGGTGCAGTGCTCCCGAGAAAGGGGTACAGAAATGAATTCATGGAATGGTGTCTGGAACCAGAGCTAGCACATCCTTCCCAGGGCCGGACTCACTGGGGAGTCCTCTGTGGCGAAGGGGGTGCAGGTGAGGGGGGTCTTCCAGCCTCTTTGGCATTGCTGATGAGAGTTGGCCACTAGGGCGATCCCGAGAGGCTTTGAAGGCTGGGAAGAGGCTGGCCTACCTTTGATTCAACCTTCTTCTACCTTAGGTGGCAGGAGGTGGGCCTCAAATGATCATAGGAATGATGCCAGATAGTTCTTTGGTGCTTTTCAGTTGGCAAAGCATAATACAAACTCATCCCATTCATATCATCCCAGACAAGGGTTCTTTTATAGAAAAATGCTGTGGGGGCAGCTGACTAGGGCAGAGGTATAAGACCATGCATCCCCTGCAGGAAACTGGCTGGTAAGAGGGCTGCTATTAGCCCCCACTTGCTGGGAAGCATCCAGTGATAGACCGTGGGAATGGGAGCTCTTGCTCTAATGCTGGGCTGTGAAGCTGCCCCTGCCTCCCACCCAGGAGAACCAGGGGGAAATTATCTACTGATTCCAATGTGACAAACCAGGGGAACCAGAAAGTAGGGGGATACTCTATCCCAGGAGGGGCGGAGTGCTTGAAAATGGCATCCAATGGAGCCTTGGGAGTGAGTCTAAGCCTTAGGATTTTAAAGGTGGGGGAACACTCTCAGGAACGGGAGGGCTGGGAGGTGCTTCCTCCAGGGGAAAGGGTGTTAGAGAGAAGGCTCCTATGGGGACTTCTTCTCAGTTTTAGGACCTCATAATTCTGGGACTGATCTTGACTGAGTGGCCTAGAAAGCAGAGGTTATCAACTTCTGGCTGAAACCTCAGAATCTCCTGGGATGATGTTAAATAACAGACACCTGGGCCCCACCCCAGCCCAATTCAATCAGTCTCCAAGAGTGGGGCCTGGGCAGTGGCATGTTTGAGAAACTCCAGGAGATTCCATCATGCAGCCAATGTTGAGAGCCACCTCTTTAGGGCAAGGAGGAGAAACCCAATGGACATCAATGGGGGAACAGGCTGTTGCAATAGGAAATATAACGTTGAGGTAAAGCCTAAAAATAGGATGTGAACTAAATCATCACATACTCTGTCTTTGCTGCATTAACACACTGAATTACACTGAGAGGTCTGGAACAGAAGGCACAAACTGGAGACTTTTAGGCCATATGTAGGCCATTGAAATACTTTGTAGGATCTGCAGTACTGAAAATAATTTTGATTTAGTGTTAGGAAACAGGCAGATTTTATATAAAATACCAGATGTCCAGCTTCCTTTGAAAAATTAGTAGATCTAAATACTGGACCCTTGTTCTCTGAAGACAACTGTCAGTTGAGCTTTTTCCCTTTAGAAGGGACAAAAGGTCTTTAGTGGACCATCGTCCCTACCACTCCCTATTGTATCTCCAAAGTCCAGATTAATTGCAGTTTATGAATATCTTGCTCTGTTGTTTTCTTAAGGTAGAAAAGTATTTCTTTGTGTCCATGTCTCTATCAAAAGTTGAAAAATTAAAGGTAGATTAAGTACTATTGTTTCTCCTCTGGCATTTTCTGTGTTTATATTACCTATTAGGTCTCTGTGCCATTTGCATTTCAACCTCTAACTGAATTCTCCAACATTCACTTGTGTAGTTGGGGCCACGAAGGTGGACAAAGAGAGATTTGTGGTTGAGTTCGAAGGCAGGAAGACCCTTTAAATGTAAGGAGTACTTCATCATTCCAGACACAGCCGAAGACATGGGAAAACGTCTGCTAAAGTCATTAGTTTTCTGTAGCTTGCCAAGCAAATCAACTCCTTAAATAGTCCTACACTGATGCACTAATGAGGTGTAATCATACCTTTTGCTCTTGCTGTTTGGTTGCTGAGATTATATTAACGAGACCTGTGGGCTCTGCCAAGAGGGTAATTGGGATTCCCATTGTTCCCTTGCTCTTTACTGCTTCCTGGGGTGGGACCGGCCCTGTGCTGGGGACAGAGGAAACCCCAGAGGCTGGAGACCCCTTTGTGAGGGTGTGACCTGAGGGGAAGAAGAGCCTTTGACCTGGCCCTGCCACAACTTCACATGTGACTCAACTCCATCCATCAGCAAAATGACTAGATGGATGACTAAGTCCTTCCAGATCTTGAAAAGACAAACAAAACGAAAGTGCCAGCTTCACTCAGGTGTGTGGGAGGATGGAGCCCAGGGCTCTAGAAAGGTGGTGGGTGCACTCACTGGAGGTAGGTGAGGCAGGGATGAGCCGTCAGCTACTAGAGTTGTGCCAAAGGGATTAGCCCAGCCCAGACTCCACATCTGGAAATGCAGATGTGTCTGAGCAACCCCCATCCTCTCCTGGGACCTGTAAGCCGGGGTACCTGGGGCCAGAGATCTTGGAGAATAGCGATCCCGGTAATCTAGTAACCTTTTTACAAGTGACCTTTTCTGTTGTCACCAGTGTTAAGAATAGAGAGTAGCTCTTTTGGGTTCTCTCTGGGGCAATGGAGGAAAGAAGGAGAACATTCCACTGGCCCATGCTTCTAGTCCTCTGAGCATTTCACTGGTCCGGAAGGCAGACCTTATCTCCGAACCAAGTGCAAGTTGGTTCAAGGCTGTTTCAGGCCACTCCAGCTCTCCAGTTGGTGCTCCTGGGGCTGGGGGCCCTGCCTTATTCAAAGTTGCATGTCCCCTGCATGTAGTCCAGGGCCTGGCCTAGAGGAGGCCCTCAGTAAGAGAGTCCATGGTCTTGCTCATTGGGAAGGCAAAGCCATATGAGCTCTGGAACGCTACAACTTTAAATCTGCTGTTTAAACTTTAAAGACTGCTGTTTTCCAGCAGCCTTCTCCAGGGTCCCTGTCCAGCAGCCCCGGCCTCATCAGGATCACCCAGCTGGGTGATCCTCATGGTCTTGCTGGGTGCCAGGTACTTACGGGTAGTCCCAGAGGCCCTCGGTCTCCTTTTTCCCCCTGGGCGCCCTGTTCGCCTTTTGCTCCATCCAGTCCTGCTTCCCCCTGAAGGAAAGGGAGATGGGCGATCACAGAGAGGCATGTCCCCGACAACTCATTCTTGCATTCTGGGGTCCTGGGGAAGGAGTTGGGAATAGGGAGGGGGCAGGTTGAGGAGGGAGAGCGGGGGAGTGGAGGTGGCTGGCACAGGGGTGATTCCAGAATCCAACTTCTTGGCCTGACTTCTGTCTCAGTTAGAGTCCTGTGTCTCCCTGTAGTGACTGTGAGGTCCCCAAAGGGAATGGGATGGAGGGATTGGAGACAAGCTGACAGGGCAGCTCCAGGTCAGGCTTTGGCATGGGTAGCTGCTTGCATGGCAGAAAGACTGGGACCCTGCAGAGAGTGGCTGGCAGATGTCCGAGATGCCACCATGAACTCCCAACTAGCTGGGAGAAGAATCTGCCCAGCAGTTCCTTGAAGAATGTCAGGGCAGATGGCAAGTGCCATTGCTTTGGGGTAGGGGAGATTGGGAGTCTCCAACCAGAGTCCAGAGGGCTTGGTCCTGGAAGGGGGCCCCACGCTATGTCCCTGTCTCCCACCTACACTTCAGGGTGAGTGAAGGGTTTGGGGTGGGTTACATGGGAAAAGGATTTTGTCTTTTGCTGAGAATCCAACTTGTCACTCTACAGGGTTGATTGGGGGATGGAAAAATTCTAAATTCAAAACATGCTGGTATCTATAATGAATGTTAAAGGCCCATAGGACTTAATTCTGTCTTGCTCAGACCCGACTGGCTGGAGTGGAGCATGGCTCCATGGAGGAGAGGGCTCAGTGAGGCCACCCATCTCTGAGGTGCTTCCCATTGTATCTGATCTCCCTGCTACAGCCCTTCCCCCCTTCCAGCCCAGCATCTTTCTTACCTTTGGTCCAGGAATGCCTTGCAGCCCCTGCGTTTGGAATCAAAACAAGGCACATCAGAACTTCATTTTTGGTTAAGTCACCCTGCTTTTCCATAAGTTGGATACAAAAGAGCAATGGCTTTGGGCGCAGAGCCTAGGCTGGGGTCTGGCCCAAAGGAGGTTGAAGGGAACACTAAGGGGGTGGGGTCTGAGCCAGCCTTCTCCAGCCAGGAACTGACAGATTCTCTCTTTGACCATCACAGCTGACCCAGCATCTCATTAAGAGAAGATTAGAGGGGTCACAGCAGAAGCTAAATAAATTAATATACACAAAGTACTTAGGCCAGTCAGTGTCTAGCACATAGCAGTTCCCACCAAGTCTTGGCCAGTTTTTGTTACTATTGCTACTTCTGCCAGTGACATGGTGGCACAGTGCCATGGGACCATGAGCTCTGCAGAGGCAAGGACCAGGTCTGCTGGTTTAGCATGCTTGGGGACCTTGAAGTATAATGGAATGGGATCTCTTTAAAGGCCTTGTCTTACCATATGTGACCACGGAAAGGCCAATCCAGTGGGGCTAGTTTCAAGTGGGTCACAAAATAGTGGCTGTTTTATATGTGAAGGAACAGGTGCAGGGAAGGGTTTATAAAGGGCAAGAAAATTCCACCCTGGGAGGGGGAGATAATGAACTAAGGTTGAACCTAGTGACTGCCATAGAGGGGACATTAGGGACCCAGTCACAGTGGTCTGAGATAATGACAAGCCTTCCAAACTTACCGGAGGTCCAGGAGGCCCCTCTGGCCCTGGTGGTCCAGGAACCTAGAAATCAAAAGGAGGTTAATCCTTTTGAATTACTCTAAGTAATCCTGCTGTCTGATATGATCCATGGTCCAGCAAGGGGTTGCATGGCCAGAGGAGGAATTTCCCACTACAATCTAGCCAAAGAAGGCTTAAGACGGGCCAGAAACTAATAGCAACTCATTAGCCTGCACAATGTTAAAAAAACAAAAACATTGCCAGGAATTGTTCTCAAAATGTTTATTCTTCCAGATTTTCTTGAAAAATGAGAAAATCTGGCAACAATGCCTGGTGCTAAATAAGAGCTTTCCCCTCCAGGTGGGGCATAAAGTCAGTTTACCCCAGGCCCCACCAATCCTTATTGTCTTTAATTAGGACCTTTGTGTTCATTTGTTGCATGCCTGACTCTTGTAAGCATTTGAGTTTGAAGTGGGACTGGTTGTCTGGTTGTCTGTAATGGGGGATTGGTTGAGATATTTCTGAAGAATATTCTTCCCCTCAGGTTTGTAAAAGACTGCTGTTCTCTCACTTGAGGGCAGGTTGAAGTAGGAAAGATGCAGACTGGACAGTGAAGATGGGGGAACTCAGGGCTGTCTTCCTCATGAATGGTGTTCATTGCAGATTCTGAGGGTGGACATCCATGTCCACAGTCACCCACCCAAGAGGCAGGAAGGGAACCTACCTGCTCCTTTATGAGCTGGTTACCCTTCTTATGCTCTGGGGCTCTCCTTGGACAACTTTCCTCCCAGGGATAGAATCCACCAGAGTGTGGCCAGGGCAGGGGCCCATCTGCCAAGCCACCAGAGAAAGGCCTGCACTGAGCAGATAGGGGAGCCCTAATTTCCCTGACCTGTGGACACTTCAGCTCCATAATACTAAAGTCTCCTTGCAGGGAACATACTCTTCAGAAATGATTTTCTTAAACAAAAATGTATGCTGCATTTATTTATATTATAAATAACAAATCCATGTATCTTGATTGTGGTAGTGGCTATTCAAATCTATGCATGTATTAAAACTAATAGAACTGTACACCTATCCTGCCCCCCCAAAAGTCAACTTTACTGTAGTGGGCACTAGAATGGCAGCAGCTGGGGGTGATGTGTGTGGGGGGGGTGGGTGCACCTCCTTGAAGAACGATCAATAAAATATGGAGGGTGTTCTGGCAATGGGGTTGAGGGACCTGATTAGTGGGAAGATGGTAAAGCAGCCCAGAGGTTCTGGGTCATCCCACATGGGCTCAGTGAATGCTCAATTTCTTGCCCCTCCCAAGTCAGGCAGTGGTGGGGTTCATGTTTTCTGTCCTGTCAAATAACTCCTGTGACACAGGTGGAGCAGGCGCCACCTACCTCCACTCCTGGGTCGCCCTTCTCCCCGGGTTCTCCTTTCTCCCCCTGTGGGCAGAAAACACCAAAGTGTAGATAAAGTACTCAGGGGAGCTGGGACAGATGCACCTTCAGATCTGTGACAAGCCAGGCTGGGACTACACTGGACCTCGGAGTCAGCACGTTCGGGATGTTTGGAGGGAGTCAGCCTGAAGGGCGAAGACTGCCCGGGCAGGGGCCTGTGTTCACGTGGAAGTTGAGGCTGATGGTCCGCGTGGAGCCTGTGGGCATACACTCTAGAAAGGGGCCTTTCTCTGACCTGTTTCTAACCCTATGGCAAAGGGGCTAGGATAGGGCTCCATGATTATATTATATTAGAAACTTAACTGTCACATACAGATGTTCTATAAATTACATATCTCCTATGTCACACACACGCGCACACGCACACACACACACACACACACACACGCGGCCCTGGCTTGCTGGTTCACACTAAGAGGTTCCTGCTGGCCTTGGATTTGAAAAAGCAAGTTGCTGCATGGTCATGTTTCACTTAATGAGGGGGTTTCCACGTCCTGATAAATGTGCCCCACCTTTCCACGTTATGTGAACATCACACAGTGTAATTACACAAGCCTGGATGGGAAGCCTACCCCACACCCAGGCTAGCGGATATGGACGACAGGACCGCCATCGTATATGGCGACTATCCTCCACTGAAACGTCATTAAGCAACGTGTGATGGCAGCGTGAGCTGCCTTCGGTAGGAAGGCCGCATGTCGGCTGGCAGGCAGCTTCCAGGAGCTGAGCTGCTCTAGCAAGGAACTGAAAGATGCAACAGCAGAGGACCTCAGCAGTAGGGGAGAGTATGGTTCCATGGCACCTTCAGAGGCCTTTTGAGGCCTTGGGTGGGAGGCCCAACCTATGGCAGGACTCGACCCATAGGAACTGTGAGAACCTAAGTGTGTGTCGTGTTAAACCACTAAATTTGTGATGATTTGGTATGCAGTGACAGAAAGTGAATATGGCTCCAGAGACAGAGCCAGGGCTACTGGGGAGGTCGATGAGGGACCCCCCTCACCCAGGAGATGTCCCATAGCAGAGGAGCCATTTCCAGGGGCCATGCACTGCCTGCCTGGCCCAGCCAAGGGGTTCCTGGTAAGATCTAAGATTACTTTCTACCCCGAAGGAGAAAAGTCTAAGTCTAAGATCCTAGCACGTTTGAGCAAGTCTGGCACCTAAAGACAGAGGCCACCCTGCTGTGGGTTGAGGGAGCCAGAACCTCTGTTCATGTTCAGATGCCCCTCAGGGAGTAGCTCCTCATCAAGAGGACACCCCAGGCTGGGGTTAATGTGACCTCATGACAGTGCCAGGTACCCGCTAGGATGGTGACAGCAGTGAGGGTCACTCCCGCTCACGTGTCCTCACCCATAATTGCCTGTGACAACTGCAACACCCTTTGGCCTTACTGTAAATCCTGGGAGCCCAATTGGGCCAGGCAGTCCTGTCGCTCCAGGTCTCCCTTGGTCACCTGGTTCTCCTTTCTCCCCAGTTGGGCCGTCTAGACCCTACAGATTGACAAAGATTTCTGTCAGTCAAGTGCAAGGCCGTCACACCAGGTGACCCATAGTGGCATGCATGGCTCTCTTCCTCCAAGGTAGGTGTCTGGGATGGCGCCCATTTCACAGGCCACTGAGGCCTAAGCTTCTGGGCCAACTCAGCAGCCAAGCACCAAGCTGGACTGGGCCTAAGGCTCCTGCATGCTTTCCCAAAAGACACATTCACACCCAGGACGTCGTCGCCTTCCTAATCCAAGCAGGCATTACCACCCCCATTTTAGAGACAAAGAAAGGGAGGCTCTGCTAGGTTCAGTGACTTTCCCAAGGACATAGACAGGAGATGATAGCACAGGACCCAGGACTCCTGAGGTGGGAAGATGGCCTTCAGAAAGTGACTTGATGGGACACTCAGGTGAATTACCCGCCCCCAACTCCTGGATCCAGATTTCCAGCCCGGGCCATAAGTTGCAGCTGCTGAGGTAGCCAGGTGGCTGGGGTCACGGTGGGGGTGGCACATGCAAAGGGTGAGTCTGACTGCCCATCTGGGTACTCACCGGTGAGCCTGCTTGCCCCGGCTCCCCTTTTGCCCCCTTCTCTCCTGGGCTGCCTGTATGTCCATCTTCTCCCTTCGCCCCTGCAGGCCCTGTCTTTCCTGGGGGGCCTTGGGGGCCAGGAGGACCCATGTCTCCTGGTTTGCCTCGAGGTCCCTTTAGAAAATTTCAAAACACTGATTAGATACACTGATGGAGATGAAAGAATGGGAGGTCATAGGACCTGGCTCTTAGGTGCTCAACTGGATCAGACAGAGTTAGTCCAACTCCCTGTGGGAATGGGCATGGCCCTGGGACTCCAGCCCAGCCCAGAGCAGCCCAGCCCAGCCCAGCCCAGCCCAGCCCAGCCCTGCCCAGCCCAGCCCTGCCCAGCTAGGGTCTGCAAGGCTCCTTCTGGGGCCAGCATTGTGGGGCTCCCCTGGGCTTCTACAGGGTGGCCTTGCCCCCTCCCCTCCCTCTTCTCTGCGCCTTTCCCCACAGGCTTATCCCTGGGCCTCTTCCAGAACCTTCTGCTCCTTATCCCCACTCTCTCAGGACAAAGGCTATCTTCAGAGGTTTGTTTGGGAGTGTTTGCTCTCACCTTCTCTCCATCATGTCCTGGAGGGCCTGGCAGTCCAATCTCCCCCTGTAGCCAGAACAACTAAATGTCACCCTCAGAGCAGAGAATGGTAACTGTCACTTACCCAGTCCCTCCTGTGCACCAGGCATCTTGCTCGGCACCCACCGACTGACTTGCATTGTCTCTGTTTTATAGTAAGGGCCCCGAACCTAGTGCTGGGTGCCCACGGCTGGCAGTTGGTGAGGCGTACACCCAAATCCCAGCAGGCTTTCTGGTTCTACAGCCCATGTTTTAGCCATAGTCTCCCACTGCTGCCTCCCAGAACTCCAAACACTCACTCATGGGAGGGTGGCTTGCCTTCCTGTCCCCCCAAACCCAGCTCTCTGATCCTGGCTGCCCCAGGGGGAGCCTCCTTCATCTTCACACCAATGCAAACTCCTTTAGGTCAAGGAGGGGCATGAGGAGGTGTGGCCTCTGTCTTTGAGGCCAGGTAAATGAGCCTCAATGTTAGAGCTCAACAGAGAGGAAAAGGCAGTGAATTCTTCCTAGATCAGGGGAAGCTTCAAAGAGGAGGTGGTATTTGAATTGGGTTGAAATATGAGAAGGACTTTGAAAGGGAGGGAACAGGAAAAGTGACTTCAGGGCAGGGGGCTTCATGAGCTGAGGACAGAGGGGCAAACATGCAGGGCCTTCTGAGACAAAGGACAGAGGTGGGAACGGAGTATAAAAGGGAGCAAAGGCAGAGAACAAAGGAAGGCAGGGTGGAGTTTTAGTGCCACGTTCCCTGATGGGTGGGTTGGGGTCCCTCCTGGGGGTCTGGCTAGATGTAGAGGCTCATCTAGACTCGGAGGAGTCTGTGAATTACAGGAGCCAAAGACAGCAAGGGAAGATTGCAGGGCCAAGGGTGGCAGTGGCTGTGATGTGGGCAGGGCCTGTGGAACCTTGGAGCATGGGGAGAAATTACAGGCCGCAGTATGGTAGTGGTGCTGAGATGAGAGGGTAACAGGGCGAGGGGTGACTGGGGGTTCCGTATATACAGTGCTTTGGCAGATCTGCTTCTTCCTTGTCAAGACAAGTGTTACCTTCTGGCCTGGGTTCCCTGGAGCTCCGGGTGGGCCGATTTGCCCAGGAAGACCAGGAGGCCCCTAAGAAAGGAAAGAAAGATGTATGAAGGAGCTTTCTGACTAAGGAGCAGTGACCTCTGGCCAGAGGGGTGTCTGTGGACATTGGCTTAAAGAGATCAGTCATTTTCAAACATTTTATCAGCAGTAGGAATATTTCTTTGCAAAGGAAATAATGCAGGAAGCTGGCCCATAATGTAAAGCAGTGAAGCACAGAGTGTGTGTGGGTTAAAGTGGGTGGTAGGAATCCTAGGAACATTCCCTACTGACAGCATCAAGGAACTCCTTGTTCTCCAAGAAGACAAGCCTGACTTCTAAAAGTGACCTAAAGATGTCTCCAGGAAACAACTGAAATGTCCATCAATAGCCGAAGGGCTGGTATTGCCACATTGGACTACTACTCAGCAGTGAAAAAGGAAGCCAGCACTGGTATATGCCATGCCATAAATGAAACCTAGACTCATGAAATAAGACATGGACATGTAATTCCATTCCTATGAAATTCTAGAAAAGACCTATATAATCTATGGGTTCAGAAAGAAGATCAGTAGTGGCTTGGGGTAGGGGTAGGTGTGGGATTGACTCCTAAAGCACATGGAAGAAGTTTCTGGAGTAACTAAGGTGGTAGATACATGGGTATATACATTTGTTAAAACTCATAAAACTGTATCCTTAAAATGTTATATGTACATTATATCTAACAGTTAATTTTAAAAGAAAAAAACATTTCCAGGAAAGTTTTTTTTAATGGCTATTTCAAATAACATATTTTAATGTCCCCAAACAAAGCTCATTGATTCCATAATCACGTCACTAATACCAGTTTCTAGGATTGGGGCATCATCTGATTAGGGTTTGATTCTGTATTTGTGTCTTCCCTAAATTATTCTGTGGTACTTGGCAGTGAAAAATATTAAGTGAAATGAAATTGCAGTAGTTTAAGACTTTCATGATCTCCCTTCTCTTCTCCACCTGGAAGATAAACCCGATGATAGTCATTTTAACGACAAATATTTACTGAGGGCCAGTCACTGGTAGGCAAATATGCAAAATCCAGATTTGAAATTTACTGGTTTTCCAAGAACAGATAATGAAATTGATTTCTAGGAAAAGGGGAAGTGTGGATGTTGCTGATTTTCTGGGCTTCTGTACTTTACTGGATGAAGGCTGAGCAAAGGAGAAACATGAAAACACCCTCCCTTATGCCTTTGTTTCCTGGACACCGCTGTAAATTGATACTGTGAGGCAGGGGCACAGCAAAATGGGTGGAGAGCCCCTCTAGAAAACATCTGGGACCTATGGCATGGACAGCCCTGTGATGCCCTGTTCAGTCTGGGCTCACCCTCTGCCCAGTGCCGCAGGGCTCAGCCTACCCCAGAAGCCCAGTGTCTGCACCCTGGAGGTCACATCTCCAGTCCTTGCTTCCAGGCTGCTCCCCCAGTCCTGAGCCCAAGGCCCACGGAAAGCAAGGAAGAAGGCTTACCATCAATGCCAGCGTTCGGATCTCCTGAAAAATCAACATCATGGAATCAGTTGAAGAGGAAACCAAGAGCCATCAGAGGGGTCCCTCGGTCCAGCCTGGGAAACCTGGGGCCCTGCCCCTCGAAGGAGCACAGCAGAGGTTGACCCTTTTAGGTGGGCTCATGCCTCCCAGGCTCACACTGTGCTACCTCTCCCAGAGGTTTGTAATCACTGGACAGATGACACCCCACATCTGACCACATGCTGCCCTGAAGCTGTCCTGTAGAACCCAGGCCCCCGAAAACAGACCACAGCCTTTCCCTCTCTTTTCCAAAAAGGGTGAGAAGCAATATTTCTGATTCTTTACTCACTGACTAGGGCCGTCCCTTGCTTTTGCCTCTTCCCCAGAACCCAGATTTCAAGATTCCCATGTACCCCCCTTTAGATAAACACTGTATCTCAAAATTTGGAACCATGCAAAAAATAAATCAGAGAGACAGCTGCCATTAAAAAGGGAATTGCTCACCTTGTAAATGGGTTCACGCAGGTATAAAGACTCCTTTAAGGAGTGGTCCTCAACCTGGGGTGATTTTGCTCCCCGCCCCAGGGGACATTTGGTGATATCTGGAGACAATTCAGTTGTCATAACTGGGGATGGGGAGCTACTGGCATTAGTGGATAGAGACCCGGGTCTGCTGTTAGCTCTATCACCCCCAGGACAGCCTCCCCCCATACTCCTCAGCAAAGATTAGCCAGCCCAGATGTAGTGCCCAGGATAAGTTCTGCTTTCGTGGGCTGGGTGGTGAAGACCATATGAACTTGAAATATGGTTAACTTGACACAAAGGGAGATGTTCAAGAAGACACATTTAATGTGAAAGGGGAGTGTGATCCTGAACATAGGGAGCTCTGCATCCCAAGAAGGGCCAGCACCCCGCTGGGCGCCAGGATGCTCCTGCGGAGGCTGTCCATCACCAGCTGCCCCCACCCCCAGAGCAGGCTACCTGGATGTGAAATGAGGGGGCATTTGCCTGGAGGCTGCACAGTGGGAGGCCAATGGGGAGAAAGCAAGGATGCTATACTCTCCTGGAAGCTCTGTGCTGTGGCCGGTTCTTGGGGACACCAGTGGGTGTTGTAGCACTCCCCCATCAGGGCCTTGGTGCTGAACCCTGAGGCTACCAGCACCTCCTGATTGGAACTCTGGGTTGACCCCCACATACCTGCAGGGCCTCGTTGATGTTGCCATTGTAATCCACCATCTCTCCTTTCCCTGGTTCTCCCTTGGGGCCCTGCAAGACAAGTGAACTCTCAGCCCAGAGTGGGCCAGCAGGGAGCTGAGGACCAGAGCTTCAGGCTCCCTGTCAGTGGAACCGTGGTCAACATGTGGCTGCACACACAATGATTCAGAGAAGCAAGAGTGGGCCTACTGGGGTTCCCAACCACTCTTAGGGGCTGCCCAGGGGTTCTAGAACAAATGGAGAAGACACCATGTGACAACCCTAGACAAGACAGACCAAGTCCACCAGGACTGCGCCATCAGGCCTCCTGCCTGGGACCAGAATCCCCCTCCCCTTCTCCCCCATGGAGCTCCCAGGGTCAGCTCATTTCACACAGACCACAGAGAGGGGAGACATGGTGCTGTGACCCCAAGTGAGAGTTGCACATACCTTGGGGCCAGCTGGTCCCTGCTCTCCAGTTGCTCCAGGCTCCCCCTGTTTCATAACAAAATTGGCATTAAGTGGGGATAAAACTGAGAATGATTGAGGCTGATGTCCCCAGGCTGGCCTTGTGTTAGAGGCCAAAGGGGGGCCACAGGCTCACCATAGTTGGCCCAGGGGGTACAGTCCTCTGTGTCCATTCAAGTGCAGACTCTGCACTTCAGGAAGCATCTGTACCTCCAGCTACTCTCTCCATCCCATGTTAGCGGTTAGTGGCTCCACCTTTGTCTATCCAGCCTCCTCTCCCCTGCCCCCTAAATCAGCCACCTCCTTGGGAGTAGAGAGCAGGCCCCTTGCTTCTCTTTATTTCCATTCTGCTCAGGGAGCAAGTAACTTTTTCCCGATTGCCTGGGTGGTTATTAATCGCCATGGAGAAACCAGAGGTGGTTTCAGGAGGCCTCTCTGTTTAGGGAAGACCCAAAGTGCAGAAGGAAACTTGGGGCCAGCATAAAGGATTAGGGGCACACAGGCTGAAGATGCCCAGAGCAGGTAGGGTGGAGGGATTTGTTTGTGGAGATGGGACAGAGCTATGAGGCATAAACGAAACAGTGGCATAAACTGAAAAATAAGCCCTAGTTCTAGTTGAAGATCGAAGAAAATTTAAAAAATGAAGATAGAAAATAAAAATAAAGGGAAAACAAGACCTTCCATGGAACTTAACTAGTGATGAACTGCGGCTGGCCAAGCTGGAGGCCCAGGCCATCGCCGTCTCCTGGCAGCCTGACCCTCACCTCTGCCCCTCACCCTCCCTCTGCCATCGTAGCTCCCTGTGGGGGACATAGTAGCACCTACTGGACCTTTCTATGGGGAGTAGCTGGAGAGTCACTTGCAATCTGGGTCACTTGCAGGCCAGAGGTCTGTTCCCTGGGCAGCCTTTACATGCCTGCTGTCTCAGAAGTTTCTCTAAAACCCATGCTAATCAGAGGACAAGGGAGCCAGGGCCTTAAATTCCCAAGCTGACCCTCATTCTGCAGCTCTTGGATCTGGGGCCTCCGTACCTTTTCTCCTTGCTGTCCTGGGGGACCGGCCTGGCCACTGACACCAGCTTCTCCCTGGAGAAGGAGAGAGATGGGAGGAGAGCGTGCAGGGTGGCTTGGACAACCACTACGAGGGGCAAACGATGGTGCTGCCATGCTGTTCTGGGCAGTAAGTGTCTTTGGGCCCCGTCTCTTTCGCCTCTGGCTTTGCTAACTCACCCTTATCTGACGCCTCCTACCCACCATTGGGCCCAGCCCAAATCTCACCTCCTCCTGGAAGCCCTCCCTGTCTACCCTCTTCTTCCTCTGAGTTCTGCCCCATGGCTGGTGTCAACCCCATGCTGCCAGGTCTTGGTGTCCAGGTCACACGTGCCCAGTTCTGTAGCAGCCCCCAACTGAGGACCGCCATCAGCCCAGGCCCTGAGAAGAAGGTCATTTTGGAGCCTGGGAGAGTGGCACAGGCATCCCTGGGAGACAGAAGGGAGGAGGGAGGCCCTGGGCATGTGGAGAGGGGCTCCTGGGAGCCAGGAGCCAGGACCTGAGGTGTGGGGAGAGGCCTACTCCAAACCCCTCATTCACTCAACATTCTGGCTGTACCTAGAAAGAGGACATGAGTTGGAGAACACTCTTCTAGTTTTCCCTTCCTTTGCCCCAGGATCAGGGAAATAGTGACTAGGTTTTCTCAATCCCAAATCAAGAGCCAGGACATGCCCTGTGGGCTGAGTAGGACATACTCTAGCATTGGAGATGTCTGTGGCAGGGCCGCCTTTGGCAAAACTGGGTGGGGCTCATGCCAGGGTGGTTCTAGTCCCACCACAGTCATCCTGCTTGTCTCTGGGGTTCCTTGTGGTTCCCTCCACTATGTAGTCTCTATCTGGCCAATAGATGCCTGTGCATTGCCTGTGAGCTGAGTGCGGGCTGAGGGCAGGTTCTGCTGCTCCCTGCCCACAGCAGGCCCTGGCAGATGCTGGTAAATGAATGAATGCACTGTTTCATCAGGTAGTATAATTAGTCCTTTCCTTAAAAGCTAAGAAAGAAACCCCCTTCACTTGCCTGTGCTGCCAAAATAAACCAAGCACCCCAGGAGGCATCTGCTTTGGGAAACCCACACGCACCACTGCAGTTTTCATGCAGAGCAGGAGAATCGGGGCATCCCATTGTAGCCCCATTTGTGCCCCCAGTGCTGGTCCCCCTTAGCCCTGTGTGCAGTGCCTGCTCACTGACGTCTGGCTGTCCTGAGCCCTGCAACCCTCCTGCCCTGACTCTTACATCTCAGCCACCTGCCCCCGGGAAACAGGTTCCTAGGTGATCAAACAGTGGCTGCTTGGCTACAGGAGCTCATTCCAAATGACCTTTCTAGAATTCACTGGAAAAACCATCTAGAGCAGAAGACTTGATAAAGTAAAGGAGCCAAAACACAGAGGCCCGCAAGGATGGGCTGAGGATAAAGGCCACAGGCCAACATCTCCCCCGAAGCTCAATCCCAGGAAATACTCACCTTCGGCCCTGGGGGCCCGGGGAGCCCTGGAGGCCCGGGCTCCCCTCTGCCTGCACCAATGGAGTTGCCAGCATCGCCTTTTTCTCCCTGGGGGTGGAAGGTAGCATCACCATCAAGGGTTGACCTAGCTTGGGAGGGAGGTGGCTGTCCCTTCTCTCCCCTCACAGTTCAAAATCTTGGGGACAGCAGACCCCACAGTCTAGGCTGACTGTGGCAGGGATGATAAGGGGCCTGTGGGCATAGGGTGGCTGGGGACCAGAGGCCTCCAGCCTGGCCAGCCTGGTGCAGCCACCGGACTGAGGAGGGCCTGGATCTGGCTACTGAAGGGGAACAGGTTTGGAGCTGAAGCAAAAGACCCATCAGGACCTGAGCTACAGCACTGTTTCTCATAGTGTGTTCCACAGTACCCTCCTTCAGTGGGTTTGGGAATATTTGAAACATGGAGAAAAGGGCCTGGGGGCCAAATGATGTTAGGAGATATGGAGTGAAATGTCACTGTGTCTGCACCTTCACTGATAGATGCGCAGAGCCTCTGGAAGGCTGAGATACCCTGTGACTCCCCCAGGGCCTGTCCTGTCCCAGGCAGCTCTCCCCAAACTTATCTGACCTCAAGGTTTCTTTTTTTAGTGAAGCACATTTTCACAGCTGGTTTAAAGAGATCTGAACAGGGCCTAGCTACTGCAAATTCTTTGACCTTGGGGCCTCTTTTGGACAGTCAAGGTCTTCCATGTGTGCTCTATGACCCCCACCCTCCAACAGAATCTGGCTGTGCTCCCACTGGCTGCCCCCCAGTCTGGGAGGAACTCCTCCAATGCTGGGGCCCATGTGATTTGAAGGGCCAGGAACGTGGGTGGGAATGGTCAGATGGCCTTTACACGGGACCCACCGTTCAGAGCCTGCTGATGCCTACCTTCTGCCCCAGGAGGCCGAGGAGCCCAGGGGATCCAGCAGCCCCCTTCTCGCCCTGCAGAGAAAACACAGACAGTGTGGGCTTGCGCTGGCTCTCCAGGGCGTCGGTGAAGACAGCAGCTCCACCAGTGAAGAACTCTCTCTCTCCCACAACTCCCCACTCCCCTGACTCCCCAGTCACAGCCCCACAGAGACTCCTAAGACCACTTTAGCTGCTGAGCAGCTCTGTGACTGGACAAGCCCTTGCTCAGTCAGAGCCAGGCCTGAAGCCAGGTCTCCTGTCCTCTTCTGTCCATGCCTCAAAGATGTCCCTTTGCATCCACACAAGGGCTCATGGCAGGAGAGTCCTCCCAAGAACACCCCACCAGGTCAGCACAAGAGGCTCCACTCTCCATGACCTAGGGGTTGTGGTTCTCTTATGTGATAATATAAACCAGAGGTTCCGGGGTTCTGAGCTTTCCTGCCGAAGCACAAAGGCAGCCACACCAACCCTAGGGAGTCCCCCCTTGCCACCTGCCCTTGGATAGAAGCTGGATGACAGAATGGCCAGAAGCTGGTGAGGGGAGGGTGAGGAGGCCAGGTAAGGGCCCAGGTGAGGGGAGGGAAGCAAGTCCTGGGAGCCCAGCAGGCCTTGCTTGGGCTGTGCCTGGGGGTACCTTAGTGGGGGCACCTCTGCAACAGGCATTAAAGGGAAAGGAGTGCGTGTAGCCCTAAGGAGACAAGGGGGAGCGGGGCTTCTTCCTCCAGGCTTTCCTGGGCAGCCAAAGCCTTTCCCAGGGCGGGTGTGCTCTGGCTTAATTTCAGAGCTTTGCCAGGCCTCCCAGCATTCCCCTTCCTGGGGACACAGGCAGCACACCAGCATTGAGGGGGTTCCCGGAGGGGGTGCTGCGGAGGCTGGGATGAAGGGGGCAGACACTCCCTTCATTTACCCTCTGCTCTCTCTCTCTTTCCCATTAGACGTGGGGGCCTGGGCTTCCCTGCTGCTCCTGGGTTTCCCTTTGGGACAAGAAGAGAAAGTCACAGATAAGAGCATGTGGGGGGGGGGGACGTGGGGGGCGTGGGGAGTGTTGGGCAGTGGTCATAGGCAGAACCTCCAGATCTTAGTCCCCTGAGATGCCCTTCTTAAAGAAAGGATAGCCTGGTCAAAAAAGGTATAGTAATGCTGCATAAGGTATAGCCTTTCTAGAGCTTTCCAAGGTACATTTAGCATATGAAAGGCTCTGAGAAAGGCTGTAGTAAAAAACAGCTACAACAACAACAACAACAAAAACCTGTGTAACCTTTAAAACCCTATATTTCTCCAACATATTTGAGGACAGAAGCTTTTTTTTCATGTCACGCCTCTTATTGTCCTTGATGAGAGGGAACGAGAGCCCTAAAGACACAGGGGACAACAGTCCCTGCCCACAGGAGCTGGTGTGCAAGGACTGGCCCACAGTCCAGCCAGGATGGGGGTGCAGGGCTTGCCGTACGTTCCTGACCAGCAAGCCCCTTGGCAGGCCCTCCTCTGCTCAGACAGGTCCCCAGCCCAGGCCAGCCTCTGGGCTTCAAGACTAGCCTCTCCCACCTCCACCCCACACCCAGAACGTTCCCTCTGTATCAGTACCTTGGCTCCTGGGGTCCCTGGCTCACCCTGTGTGGAAAAAAAGAAGACTCAGATAAAGAAATAGAGGTGGAGGTGGGGGTGAGGAGGAGAGAAAGGTGTGTGTGTGGGAGGCATGGGTGAGCAAATGAGCAAGGTGCTCTGGGGGAAGGTGAAGCATCTGGCCAGTGGCATCTGGACCTTTCCCTAAGCCTTTGGCCCCAGGCCAAATGAGGCCTCTTGAGCACTGGCCCTTAGCAGGTTCCTTATCCCACCCCTGGGTGAGAGGTGGCAGGTGTGAGGGTCAGTGAGATACCAGGAGGAGGAAGAGGAAAGAATGGGCATTTGCTTTGCCCGCTGTGAGCGGACCCACTGTGAGAGCCACATATAGCATGTGTGCTGCTGGGGTGTTCCTACCCAACTGCCTGCCAGCCAAATGGGCAGTGAGGGTGGGGTTCAGGAGAGAGACTCCTGCTCATGTCTTTGGTGCTTTGCAATCATGTAGCTGCTGAATCCAGGAGCGCAAGGGAAAGCTTTGTCCATCAGCAGGTTGGCAAGAGCTTCCACTAAAGCAAACTGTGATACTTACTTGCAGGGTAAACATCTGTTCGAGTCCTATGTCTGGCATAAATATTGTTTTAAGAGAGCTTTCCCATCCTGCCGGCCCCCATTTTGGTTCTGCCACCACCACACTGGGCCCCTGAAGCCCCAGCTCTGCCCTCCTCTCTTCATGTCTCCCTCGGGCCCCGCAGGTGTTGAGTTATGATGTTCCACTGACCTTCATCCCGGCCACAGCGATTCCAGGAGACCCCTGGCAGAGAGAAGAAAGGCAGGGAGGCTTTTTGCAGCCAGGGGGATGCACAGAGGAAATGGCCAGACTCCCAGCCTCCCCTTGGTGAGACGTCAGACGTCAGATGACGGACTGCTTCCTTCTGCTTGCCCTCCCCCTGACAGGGAATGGGGTGGCTGAGCTCAGCAGAGTGCGAGTGGCACCTAGGAAGGGCCTCTTTGTGCACAGTTGTGCTCTCCCAGCTTCCCACCCACCTACTCAGCACCCGAATATGGTGGGAGGCAGCTACCTTCGCTCCGTGTTTGCCCGGCATCCCCGGCATGCCACGTTCTCCCTGAAGGAAGAAACAAGAGAAACAATGAGAAGAGAAGAGAATCAAATTTAGGGGTTCTGATCTCAGCTCTTAAAACTTGGCTTACACAGGTGTCAGCAAGAATGTTTGATCTGGGGGGGGCCTCCCTGGTGCGCAGGGGTTAAGTCTCAGCACTGTGAAGCTATCCACAGCCACTGCAGTCTGAGTTCGATTCCCAGCCAGCGAGCTGACCCACATGGCGCAGCAGACCTCTCCTGACCAGCCCACTGCTCCCCTCAGCAGTGTATTTCAGTGGATCTGCCTGTTCTGCTCCCTACTCTGGCTCTGGTGAATCCTCTTGCCCCCCCCACATCTCTGGCCTACACCCCAGGTCTTGTATGCATAATAAAATAAATCTTAAAAAAAATGTTTGATCTAGAAGTGTCCAGCTCATGACAAACTGTGAGGACCATGTCATCACCAGCAGCAGACATGGCCACTGTTGCTATGGGAACTCAAGAGGGTCCAAGTCACAGATCACGGAGCAGTAAAGGTCCCCAGAGAGAGGCCCACTTGTGGAGCCCTAGTCCACAGAGCAGGGGCGGGGGGACCTCCAACCAGGGCCCAGGTAAGCTGGAACTCTCCCTCTCCCCGCCTCTATCTTTTCAGCCATTCTTGTCCCTTCTCTCATCTTACAGAAATTCCAGGTCTTTTCTGCTGACCAAGGCTAGAGCTACTTCTGGAGCTCTACAGTTGAGCCTCCAGGCTGGCACCTAGGTGAATGTCCCCATGCTTGGGTAACACTCCCCTCCTTCAAAACTAGCCAGCACTGGCTGCAGAAAAGGGTCCAAGCTTCTATGAGGGCGTCCCTCCCCCAACCCCCTCCTGACACCTGTGCCTGTTTCCCTGAAAGCACTACCTGGGTTCATGATTCTGTGTCTGCCTGCCATTTCCTCAGGTAAGTGCCTGCTCAGACACCGTCTCCTCTATGAAAACTTTAGCTCTGTCCTGGAACCCAGTGTGGCAGGGACTGCTGTGCATTTGCAATCTGGATGCACAGACTCAGGTTTGCCTAAGAGGGTTCCACCTCTACCCTTTTGGTGTCAAATTTCTGAATTCTGCCAAAAGTCCTGAATTTTTAGCTTGCAATGCAGGAGCCCTTCCTCACCCTGACCCACCAAGGCACCTGAGCAATAGGTGGACGTGGTGGACTGAACTAGAAGTACCACAGTGGACAAAACTGGTGCCCCAGGTCTGTCCCAGTCACCAAGTTCTGGGAATCCCTTTTGGGGCAGAGCAGAGACTGTGCTTGCTACAGTATGTCTAGTGTGGAATCTCCATCCTTCCTCTCTTCAGTCTCCAGGTATCTTCTCCAATGTGGGAGTTCCACAGGGTTTAAATTGTGGCTCAGAGAGGCCAGGTACAATTGTCCAGGGCATGCAGAGCAGGAACTTGAACCCAGGATTTTGTCTGCCATAGTCCGTAGTCCCTGTTTGTTTAACCCAAGCATCAGATGGATTGATGTTCCGTTAGCTCCTGCTAAACACCCTCTGCAGGTTGAAGCTCCTGCCTGCTGGGGGGCCTCAGGGTTGGGTTCCACGGGTGTTAAAGGGTTGGTGTGTAAGGGCAGTTCCTCCAGGGCTGAGTCTTCAACCACAGGCCCCCAGAGAAGAGAACTGGGCAGGACCCGCCTGAGAGCACAGGTCTGCTCTGTGGCCAGCAGAGGGCGCCACGAGCTCTCGTCTGAAGTAGCAACTGAGCTCATAAAGGTCTCACAGCCCCTTCCTCAGGAGAGCTTCTTGTGGCCTCTGTTCCTCTTTCCTTTGGAGGACAGGGTCTTTTGCTAACATCCCAAACCAACTGACCGGGTTGACTCAGCCTCAAAGACACCAGAGTTCCCTGGGAGGACACCAGGCAGGGTTCCCTGGGTTGGGGGCACATGTGGAAGTTCAGCTCTGGAGTCCCTGAATATTCAGCCTTCTTCCCCTCAGCTTTACCCCAGTGCCCCTGCCTCCTCTGCCTAACTCCATTTTGGGGAATTAGGCCGGGAGTCAGGAAAGGCTGTGTGACCCCAGATAAGCCACTTTCCCTGTCTGGGTTCAGGATCCTCATCTGCAAAGTGAGATTAGACCAGATATGTCCTACCTACCCTCAGTGTTCCCTTCAGTCAGGCCTTCAGGAAGGAGAGGCTGAACCCGGAGGGGCGACCCTGGCTCTGCTGGCAGTTGCAGAATAAAAATGCTTTAGCTCTTTTAGCAGTTGCAGCTAATAGTGCTTTAGCTCTGCATAAAAATGCAGCCCTAGGAAGGGTCTCAGCTCTTCCCTCCTTTCCCTCCTTCCCCGCAGCTGGGGGTGCTCCGCAGGGAAGGAGCACGGGACTGCTTCACCTCCATCTCTGCGCTTCAATCTCCAATCGCCACATGAGCGCAAGGGGAAACCCAGAGAGAGAGGCTTTTGGGCTAATTGGGGTTGCCTTCCGCCCATGTTGGTTTGTATGTGAAGACACAGCAGCCCTGCACTCAAGGGACATCCGGGCCCCTCAGAGCCTCCTAAGGAGGCAGCCCTTCTCATTAGGGTGGCTGACCTTCGCCCCTTGCCTCCCCTCTGGGTCAAGTCTCTTAATTCTGCAAATGACCCAGGCTTCCTTAATCCCCATCTCAGGGCCTCCTTCATTCCCACCACTTGCTGGGCAGGAAGCAGGGGTGCCCCTGACTGACCCCACCCTACAGACTCATTCCACTCTCATTAGTCTCTTTCTCTAGGGCTTGTCTCAAAGGACTTGCCCGGTCTGACCTCTGCACCAGGGACTGGCCTTCCATCAGAAAGTGGTGATTTCCGCATGGTGGGTGAGGAGGGAGAGGAGCAAGAGTCATTATCAAGGACTCTGGGTAGCTGTGGGAAAGAATGTGTGTGAGTGTGTGCATGTGTGATTGTGTATGTGCCTGTCTGTGTGTGTGCACGTGTCTCTGTGTGCATGTGTGTGTGTGTGTATGTGAGTATGTCTCGGTGTGTGTGCACGTGTGAGTGTGTCTGTGTGTGTGCTTTCGGTGGCTATTGCTAAAGGACATGCTATACTGCTATACATAGCTTTTCCTAGTGGGGAAGATTTGCAAGAGCACACCTCGTGGGTCCTTCTTTCCCATCTCCCTTCTTAAAAGTGTTCCAATTTAGGACCTCCCCGATGGCGCAGCAGTTGAGTGCTGGGTTGCGAAGCTGCCCGCAGCCTCGGCAGCACAGGTTCGATCCTCGGCTGCTCCCCGGCCACCGGAGAAGGATCCCATATGGTGCGCAGACCTCTCCTGCTGCCCGCTGCTCCCCTCAGCAGTGTACCTCGGTCCTTCTGCCTGTTCTGCTCCCCGCTCTGGCTCTGGTGAATTCTCTCACCCTCCCGCGCTTCTGACTGTACCCAGTGCTTGTATAAATAAATAAAAATAAATCTTAAAAAAAAAAAAGTGTTCCTATTTAAAAGGTTTACGTTTGGAATTGTGCTGAATTTAGACTCACGAAGTCACTACTGTCCTCCGCCTGGGGAGCACGGAACTCAGTCTGTCACAGCACAAGGGCCCAGTTTATTCCCTCAACCTCTGCCTTCTCTTTATACTCTCAGCGGGGACCCCTAAGGACTCTCCCACGGGGGTCTCAGCCACCAGATCTGGGTCATCCTGTAGCTGGAGCAGTGGCCCAGGTGCACAGGGCGTGGAACCAGGCAGGAGACCCCCAGGTCGGGCTGGCCACCAGCCTGGTGGCAGGAAACCATTCCTGACAGCCAGCCCCACAGGGATGGATTCCAGTCCTTGTGGCCGAGCACGCTCTGGTCAGCACAGGTGGGCAGAGACTGGCCACATGAATGAGCCTGCAGGCCAGCCCAGTGATTTCCCACACACCAGCTCTCCTGCTGGGTCCTGCACATGACACGGCCTCAATAGGGTCTCTATTCTGGCCCAGCTTCCAGGTGGGAAGACCCATCCTTTACTGAGATGACAGGATGAAGGCAGGCTCCTTGGAACACAAACCGGCCGTGCTCCTGTCCTGTGGGGGTGGCCTCTTAATTGGTGATTTACTGTTTGTTGAACAAGTGGGGCAGGGACTTGGCAAGAAGATGTAGGAGGGAGTCTGGAGGGAGGTGGGGGCTTCAAGGTCAGCTCCCCAGCCAAGCAAAGGTCGGATGGAAAAGCATGTGGGGAGATGAATGGGCCTCCCTAAGCGTGAGGCTTCCACTGCAGCCAGGCTCTGGTGGGGAGGGCCTGGCTGAAGGCAGCTCCACACACAGAGTCTTTGTTCTCTGCAGGGGAGGAGGAAGGCCCCGCTGAGTGTGTGGGGAGTGGAGGGTTGGGGAGGAGGCCAGCAGGCATCTCAGGCCCAGGCCTGAAGCAGGGTCCTTCCTTGGGCTTGGAGAAGAGGGTGAGGAGGGCTGACTTCTTTCTCTCCTGAAGAGTTCCCAGGACTCCCTTCCGGGAAAATAGCAGCTCAGTTCCTTCTTCCCTGCCCTAGTCAGCCCCAGACCAGAGAAAACTGGAGCCATGGAAATGCCAGGTCGTCTGGTAATTAGGACAGGCAGGAAGTGATCTAGGGAATTACCGGGGTCAGGCGGCCTATTGAAGGCCAGGGCTTTGGAAGGGCGGCTGGCTTGTAATCTCGATTTGAGATCAGTTGATTTTGTAGTTAGTTCCAAAAAGAAAAGTCAGCTCTAATTAATCTGTGGACTTTGGAGCACAGGAGAAACGGGACCCAGGGAGCACAGGCTGCAGACTGGCAGGGTCACAGTCCTTTCAGCCCCCCAAAGCCTCAGATCTGGGCCCATGTCTCAGCTCCCTGATATGCTTTAATTTAAATGGGCCGGAGTACTCCACTGGGATCTCACAGCTTTGAAAAGAGTGCTAGCCCCATCCCTGCAGGGTCCAGCATCCAAGGCTTCCCTGAACCCTGTGAGTGCCACATGACCCCACGGGGTGCTCTAATTCTCTGGGAGACAGAAGGCTGCAGGGTGACCCTGCTGGGTGCTCTAAATCTCTGGGAGACAGTAGGCAGCAGGGCGGGCAGAGACAAGCTACGTTCTTCTGGCTTTACGAGAAGTCCCAGGACTATCCCAGCTCCTGGGGGGAGCAATGCCATTGGACAAAGCACCCCAATTGCTTTTATCTTCATCTAAAATGCATCAGGACCCCAGACACTCCAGGTGCTACTCACAGAGAGCCTGGCAGGTGCAGAGAAAACCCTGAACCAGCCATAACCTTTTTCTCACAAGAAAGAAAACAGCTCAAATCCTACCACCTCCTTTCCTGCTAGAGGATGGGGGAGGGAAAGGGCTCCTGGAAATCAGGGGGCTGCCCAGTACTCATAGAACCCGGGTGGTAGTCACTCAGAGCAAGGCTTTGGGGTCAGATGGAGCCGGCTTCACTATTTCTTAGCTGTGAATCTTTGGGGATTCACCTCTCTGAACCTCAGTTTGTCCATCTACATAATTTGGGGATGAGAATAAAGCCTGCCTCACAGAGCTGTTGTAAGGATTCAACGAGATGAGGCAGGCAAAGTGCCCTCTCCAGAGCCTGGCATGCTGAAGAGGCCCCGTAAGGCAGATGAGATAATACAAGCTATCGTCCCACAGCAGTGTGCCCACCCACGACCCCTTCCTTGATAGGCAGGTCAGAACCATCACGCCATAGCAGGACTGAGGAGAGGATGAGAAGGACCAGCTCGGCCAGGGAAGGAGGGCTGAGGTGGGCCAGGTGGGTGAATTTCTGCTCCTCACACCCTCCCCCTGTGCCCCAGGGATCCAACCATAGGGCCCACCGGATCGTCTTCCCTGGGAGTCTCTGTCTCTGGGAGGCGCCCAGGGAGGCGGGCCTGCAGTTGTAAGCAGCTGGAGCATGACGCTCATCCTACCTCCTCTGGTCTGAAAGGCACAGCCTGCAGCCTGTAGGAGGGGACCGTGGTCCCCATGAGAGCCCCAAGGCTTAACATCCAGCCTCGTGTGTCAGGCAGCACCCCCACTGCCCAGACAGGCGGACCAGCTCCCATGAGCTTAGAGATAAGCTCTCACCAGCTTTTGGGGTCCACATACAGTCTGACAATATTCGTCAATTCTCTTGAAAGAGAGCCAGGGTTGTAATGTTTTAAGCACACTTTGTGTCTCGCAACATATTTAAAGTAGATGGGCGTCATAAATTTGGATCAAATAGGTACCACATGGACGCACAACAATACTCGCAGTGTCTAGGCAGCGGGGCAGGCCCCGAGCAGGGCCTGCTGGCCACACTGGGCTTTGATCTCAAGGGGCTGTGGAGGAGCCTGCCCCCCTGGCCTGGATGGCCTTTGAGAGGATGCCAGGCGGCCCCAGCTGACAAGGGGCGGGAACAGGGGTGGTGGATGGAACTAATCATGAGCAGACCTCACTGGCAGAGACATGTCTTTGCCGAGATTTACATTCCTCTTGCGCTGAAGGCAAGGCCTCCATGCACGTATGTCAAGTGGTCCGGACAGAGCAGTAAAGCACATGCGAAGGGCCAGTCCGTTCCCCACGGTCCTGCTCACACCTTGGACATGGGGGCCTCATCTCTGCTTGGTGTTCCCACTGCTCCCCCCCGATGGTAGAATGGGGCCAACCCATCTCCCCAGCATCCGTGATCAAGCAGCCCTTGGCATTAGTGCCTAACTCCAAGCAGGCAGCAGAGTAGGGAGGAAAGAGAAGAGAGATGGACAAAAGAAGAGAGCTTAAGGGATAACCCGCTACATCCCAGCGAAACCGCAGGCGAGGGCAGTCTGTGCCCAATTAGCTTAGCCTGGGGTGAGACCTCCTGAGCGGCCTTGACTTCTGCACTGGGGGAGAAGACAGTGCAGCTGTTGGGCTTGGACGCAGGAGACCTAGTTTCCATTCTAGCATGATCGTTCATCAGCTGTGCAGCCTTGGGCTAAGTGTTAACCTCTCTGAACTTCTCATTGGTACAGCGGCCACTTGAACTGTAAGTCCAGGGCCATGGTAAGGACCCAGTGAGATGGGAAGTGAACACACTTCAGCTAAGCCAGAAATCTGAAGTATGACTGTCTGTGGGCACTGGTCTGCATCTCAGAGCTCTGATGGGAAGCAAAGTTCTGCTGGGCATGGCGGTCCTGGGTCAGGATGCCCACTGCCCAGTGGGTCTGGGTAGTGGGACAGGCACCAGTAACCTCCTAAGAGCCACTTGACCTTAAGAAATGACCCCAAGACCTTCGTGGGTGGACCTTCTGCTTTGGGCTATCAGCTCCCCAGCTCCTGCTCTCTGGCCTCTGTTGGTCGAGGAGGCTGTGGCAGAATAGGGTCCCAGCAGAGTGAGAGACCACCTGCAGGTGGGTTGGCTTTGTTGACTGGGGGCTCTGGAAGCACCTACTGAAAAGACTCAGTGACAGGCTGGAGAAGTGGAGAAACCCAGAGAGGCAGTGAGGGGGAGCAAGCATCCCCTCCAGATTCCATAAGGAAAGGCTACTGTGGTGGGGCACAGGGGGCTGTCTGAAGGAGAAAGAAAGGGTGAGAAGCAGGTGGGTAATGAAGAAGAACCTCCTGCTTCCTCCTGAGCTCTGAGTGGTGATGCTGCTGGCAAGCCCTGGAGGTGGATAAAGAAAGACCCACAAAGGCTCAGAGGTCAAGACGCCTCCCAAAAGCCAGGACTGCTCCCAAGTCCACTCTGTCCAGGAGGCTGCTGCTGCCTGAGCTGGAAGCAGCCTCCCATCTGCTGTGGAAGCTTCTCTTAACACATCGTGACCCACAGTTACCCAATTTCTACCTGAATACCTCTTGTGACTAGGAGCTTCTTCCCTCCCAAGGCCCCCGTGACTGAGGAAGCTCGCTCTTGTTAGCTGCAACTGCCCCTTCTGTAGTTTCACCGATTAGCACCTGGTCTACCCCTAGTCACAAAGAAGTGTATCCCTCTACCTCCCGTGTTAGAACCTTCCCTAGCAGCCCTGAGCCGCTCAGGCCAGAAGGACCATGCTGGTTTGTGCATGTAGGTTCACTGCAGCCAGTGTTGAATGATTCCCCCAACAATCTGAGCCAGGATTCCCACCTTCATAGGACCAGGCCCCTCCATCAGCGGGACGCCCCAGCCCTGAGCTGAGGCCTCGCCATCCTCGGGACTCAGACCTCCAAGCTCCTTTCTGGATGAACCCGACTTTCAGCTGGTAGGAGGATGCAGCTGCCCACCATGCACTGACCAGGCTTGAGGGGAACCACTGCCAGCCTGAAGCCCCTTCAAGCTTGAGTGAACTGGTCTGGCTCCTAATGGGGAAACCGACCCTGCTCTGCAGCAGAAGGCAGTAAATTTTGTGAGGCTGCATGAGTGGATGGAGGCAACCACGGGGCTATAATTTCCACTTCCTGACACAACATGAACTTCTCAGTTTATGCAGAACTAATTAAAGATCTCTCAGGTCTCGCCATCTCACCACCAAGCGCCCATAAAACAATGCAGTGATGGCAGCTGCCCAATTACAGACCTGGAGGAATATGCTTCTCCGGAGTGAGCTCCACTTTCCTTCCAGAGACTCCCCAGTGGGGGGTCTGGAGGGTGGATGGGCCTCTTGCAGCAGATAATATCAAGAGGACCAAGTCTGCACTGGATTCCTGCTTAGAAATTGTGAGGCTTTGGATGAGTCTGTTTTCTCTTTTGTTAAGTAGAAGAAAAGACTCGGTCTCATAAAGCAATGAAAACAAATGCAGATCACCCTGATAGGTAGCCTGGCACACAGTAGGCATTCAGTCAGCAGTGACTATTATTAAAATTATTTTTATCACAATTAATGTAATGACCACTTCTGCCCTCTACACAAATTGATTCCCTGTCTAAAATGCCATTTTCCTTTAAAGTTGCTGGTTGCAGGATAATGATGGTGGATTAAAAATGGCCACAAACGCTCTGCTACTAGGAGGGTGGCAGGATGGGGTCAGGAGAGGAGGAGGGATGATGATGATCAGAAGGAGCAGTAGAAGTCGAGTGTCCCCTTCACATGACTTGGCAAGAAGACCAGGATATCTGAAAACGGGGTGCAGACGAACACCCTAGAAAAGAGCTGTGCACTGGACCTTGCCTGTGTTAAACACTGCCCTGGGCCTGTCTGGCCATAAGGAAAGCTGGCTGGCTGGCTGGAGACTGAGAGGCCAGGTGGAGGAGTGCAGCCCACTGCCAGTGGCAACCCCCAGACATGTGGATGAGGTTATCTTAGTCCCTCCTGTCTTTTTGTCCATTATCTAATTCAGCTGCGTGAGCCAGTCCTGGGGGTGAGAGGTGGAAGGGTACTGGGGGTGGGGGGTGGGCGATGGGCAGCTGAGCCTCCCACTGGCCAGTACATGGTATTGTGAGAAATAAATCATTGTTTTCAGCCTGAAAGTTTAGGATGGTTTGTACATGCCAATAGGGAACTGATACACCTACCCACTGACCGAGATAGAGCTGTCCCTACTGGGAGACTTCCCAAATGCCTCCCAACCTGGAACTGGTCTCTCTACCTCCCATATCCACACTGTGCTCTGTGATGGAAACAGGTGGTGTGGTTTGCCTCACCCAGGTTAGTTGTGCAGGGATTTTTCTCCAGAGAGCAGAGTTAGGACCCTACCCCATATGCCCCACCATCCTCTGCATGGAGCTCTGCTCAGAGTGGGCTCCAGGAATCTGGCTCCCATTTTCAGGCCCCTGGGAGCAGTGAGGACCTACAGACATGGTCACCCAGGATGGTGAAGGACACCTTCCTGGGCCTGATGTGCAGTTGGGCCATTGACTTGCCCAAGATCCTGGCCCCCTGAGTCTCCTTCCCCAAAAGACACAAACCCTTGTTCAGACAGCCTCATAGCATTTCCTAGCTCTTGCTAGGTGAGGGTTAGTGCAAAAGGGCGTGTGTACAACCAAGTCCTGCACCGAGGTGAAGACCTACTTGGGGTCCCACCGGGGAACCCACCCCTTTCATTCTTACCTTCCGGCCATGGTAGCCCTGGATTCCTGGGTCTCCCTGGAAGAACAGAGAGGACCATAAGAAGGGCTTTCCCAGTGTCAAATTTTGGCTTGTTCATTCTCTCACATTACCATCCCTCCTCCTCCCAGCAACTCCAAACTCCCCTGACCTCTACACCCAGCCATCCCTGGAACAGTAACAGAGACTATGCCATTTTTCAGAACAAGTTCCTGCCTTGCAGAGAGAGAGGGCTGGCGGGAAGGGTCAGCTGGGCAAAGACCCAGGGGATCTGAGATTCATGACCTTCTGTCAAATCTGGATAAGAATTTGCCCCAGGGCTCTTAGTTTCCACATTATAAAATGCCTGGGCAGGATCAGTGCTTTGCATCTTCTCAGTTCCAGAACCCCAGGGTCTCCAACTTCAAAGGGAGAATATGTTTGACGCCATGGCCTTGCGGTAAGGTTTCCCAAGAGATTCAGAAGGGCTATTCCAGCTCTGAGCCCTTATGAGACACTATTTTATTGAGATGTTGTGACAGAGTCCTGAGTATCAATCTTGAGTTTCCAACCAGATAATGAGCTCCTTGGAGGCTGGGACCGCACCTTCCATGCTAGATATCAAACTTGCTTGCCTGGAGCACACAAAGGTGCAAAGCCTTGTGGACCCCTGTCAATACCTAGGGGGGGTGGTGGAGTTTGGAAGTGAGCCAAGTGCAGTTCATCTCTCGGCTCTTTTCAGTAACCTGCACTGCTGTCTCCTTTCATTCCTGCAGGGAACTACCCCCACCTCCCCAACTCAGCGCATCACCCAAAAAGGCCCTCACCTTTTGTCCAGGAGGCCCAGGTAAACCCTGTGGAAATAAGCAAAAGATGAGTGGAGATGATTCGGGTTCATTGTTTTTACTGTGGGGAATGGGTAGTCAGTCCCCCCAATACCTGCAATGAGTTCTAGATATGCTACAGAACAGAAGTAGGGGGTTCTGGGAAGGTATCTGAAACCTGCTGAGGGCACGTGGGGACAACAGGCTCACGTCTCTCTTTGGAGCCATGTGGGTGCCCTGGGCATTGCCGCTGTGCTCGCCCACTGGAAAATAGGTCAGTGGCATCATGTTAAACTGACAGTGTGGTTTGGTTCAGATCCCCAGCCTCCCACCTCCCAACTGGGACCCCTCCCTGGAAAACTGACCTTGCCCAGCACAGCCTTGGTCTTGCCTTTGGCCATGCCAGCTGCGGGAGAGACCTCTGTCTCCTTCCGCCGGGGGAGGTGACCATGGCAGTTAGCTTTGGGGAGGTGGTGTGGGGCCCAGGCCTGGGGGAGCCCAAGGGAGGGGCAAGGGAAGGCTGGCTCCACCGCGGTCGTGGGCGTAGGTCTGGATGGCAAACAAGGGCTAGAGAAAACCAAGATGCCCAAGTCTGGTCGGTTTCAATTGGTTTAGAGAACATGCTTTCTGGTTTTTTCCTTTATAAACAACCTAACAAAGAAAACCACCTGGCTGGGGTTCAGTGAGTGGGAGCCCAGTGCATTTGGGAGAGGGCAGTCAGCAAGGAAGTAAATTTTGAGCTCTTTTTGGGTTTTCTCTGCATGGTTTGGTTCAAGTCCCTAATTTTCACTTCCTTTCTGGTTTTCCACTTTCCCATCTAGAAACGTGTAGAAGTGAGGCTAATCTCCCTCCCTGAGAACTTGAGATAAAATCAAAGACATATTTCAAATCCTCTGTTGGAGTCAAGCTGGGCAGGAGAGTTCCCCCAGGTAAGTCAAGTGGGGTGTCTTGGTCCATCCCACCTGTGCCCCAACCTGGGGGACCCTATACCTGTATTGGCAGATAGGCAGCCAAAGGGCCCAGCCATGAAGCCAAATGATCAGGAAGGCGTGTTCATCAAGGGCTATTTGGAGGAGCATCCCAGACCTAGTAACTGCACCTCTGGGAACCTATTCTAGGGGAAGAATTAGAGATGTGTGCAAACATTTCTGTTCAATGATTTATATTGCCAGCGGGAACTCATTAACTACTTTATAGATAGGCCTGCAGCCCTAACGTCTATATCACGGGAGACTCCTGATGAAGGAAAGGGCATGGTTTATGACATGAAAGCAAAACCTAACAGGATACAAACTGTTATAGCATTCAAAACATCACCAGCCTGGAAAATGTTTATGTGCAGATATGTCTAAGGAGAAAAATGGAAGGATTATTCAAAATGTTAACAATGGTAAACTCTAGAGATGGGAATACAGAAAATTTAAAATGTTTTCTTTGTCTATATTCCAGATTTCTCACAATAAATATATGGTGCTTTTTTCATAAGGACAAAATTTTTTTTAAAGCTACATGGAAAATAATATTAAGCAGCCTTTTATTTTTCATCTCTATTTCTCCAATAATGGCCAACATTAGTGGTGGCTCTGGTGGAGAAGCCATTCTCTAAAGTCCAGGGGCCTGCTGAGTGATTCTACTGCCCTTTCTTATACTACATTGGGCTGAGAGTCAGGTCTTGGCCAGGACTTGGAAATGGGTGAGTTGGAGGCCACTGGGTTTCATTTGCAACCTGTGTGCTCTTGCCTGGATGGGTACCTGTTGGTGTCTCTGGGCTTCTCCCCAGTGGTGGCCCCTGCCAGGCCTCAGGCTGGATGCAGGGTCCCTTCAGCTGACCAGGCATTGGGGTGGTCCAGGAGCACGAGGCCCACACTACCAGCAGAGGCATGTTTGCCAGCATGCTGCGTGGTCAGACATCTCCTTGCTGACTCCTTCAGAATCCTCTTCCTCCAACTTGGGTTTTCCTAAGCCCAGGGCCCAGGGCACAGCCATCAAAGGTGGTCCTGAGGGCTTTCTCTTCAAGTTCTCTGCTGAGGCTGGGAGTGGGACAACCTGGTCGTAATTTTCAACCTGGTAGGCAGTGACTGGAGTTGAGGACCTGGCCTAGGAAGTGTGTCTTCAAAACCAGAGTGGAACTGGTGAAAGAGGTGGTAGGCAGCTTCTCGTGTGGGACATCCCACCTCTAGTGACCTTGCCACAGTGTTTTTTTTGCTCAGCTGGACCCAGATTCCCATTGGTTATGTGAGGCCTGATGCTTCAGTGAGTTCCTGGGACAAATCTTGAAGGAGGCAGTGGTAGAGAGAGGAAGGGGCTACTTACAGGGGGCCCTATGGGCCCTGGCAATCCTGGGTGTCCCAGAGGTCCACTGGGTCCAGGGGGGCCTGGTGGCCCTGGTGGGCCTTGGATGCCGGCCTGGCCCTGTTCACCCTGAAGTTCATGGAAACAAGTGTTAGACAAAGTCCCCAGGGCCTAGAGCATTTCCCACCCCAGTGCCATGCACCCAGTGAAGGCCCCGCTGTGGGCTCTGGTGGGAGGCAGCAGTGGCGTGATGTGATGATGCCGTGATGACTACATGCAGGGACTGGAGATGGCTAGGAGATGGCCAAGATATTAGGTCCCCAAGAGGAGGGGCTTCCAGAAAGGACTTGCTGAGAGAGCAACTGGTCCCGACAGTGTGTGTGTGTCTGTGTGTGGCAGAGGCAGAGGCGTGAGTGAGTCACCCAGGCCCGACCGCTCCTAGCCCGGTCAGAGGACCAGTGTTCGGCCCAGGTGGCCCCAGGCCCACCTCTGGCCCGCCCTCTGTGCGCTAGTCCCAAAGGCTCTCTCTTGTTCAATGGGAACCACAGTTTCTCACTTCCTATTGCAGCTTTTTGCTGTCTGTGATGATCTGGTCCAGAGCATCAAATGAGATCCTTGGGTCAGAGGCCACAAAGTTGTTTGGGTCACTAAACTGTTGGGTAAGACATTTTATGTCAACAATTTGGATCGGTGTCTTCTGATAAAGAAAGACAGCCCTGGCAGAGCTAGGCCCATATTTGGGGGCATAATTGAGGCCGATTCAGGCTGGGCCTGAGTTCTCCAGTTGCTTCGGTCCCCAGCCCCCATCCTGTCCACGGCAGCCTGCCTCTGTCACTTAGGTGGGCAGTGCCTGGCCTCAGAGGACAGCTGAGTGTGCCGCCCTTTGCTTGGTAGTTTTGCAACTGCAAAGTGTTTTGTGCATGTCTGGAGTAGCTATTGTTATTCTTTTGCCCTTCCCTCTCTCAGTCAACTGCTCTGAGCTCAGGAACACAGAGGGCCTGGGAGGGAGGGGCGGCATCATGTTCCCTCAGAAGGAGAGAGCCTGGTGCAGGTGACCCAGATCTTGGGGCTGGAGGCCAGCCTGAGTCACTTTAGATATAGACAGTTGCCATTATGTTATTTTCTAAGTGACCTCTCCAGGGACCTCTCTTGTGAGAAGGGGCCCTTCCTGCAGACACACTAAAGCAGAACAGCCTGGCAGGTTTGACAGTTTCCAGGTTGTGTGCTGGGGACCAAGGGGGTGGGAGCTCCAGGCCAGTCCACCCTTCACCCTTTTTAGGGTGCTCTCAGATTCCTCTGTGTCATGCTTGCCTCCCTGTACGGAAAGGGAGCTGACGTGCAGGCCACAAACTCCACAGAGGGAAGAGGAGTATAGAAGCTGGGAAAGAGCGCGATAAGATTTACCAGCACCTGCTGGGACTGTCCCTTAGCTGGAATGCCCAGGGCAGATGCTCCCAGGACTTTGTTGTGCCACACCCTCTGAAGAGCAGCTTTGGGGTTCAGTGGCTGGTGCAGAAATGAGCCACAAGTCCCATTGAACAGAAGCGAAAACTGAGGTTCAGAGAAGTTGAGCCCCTGACCAAGGCCACATGGATAACTCAGGGGGCAGCCAAGATCCAAACTTAGAACTCCAGACTGTATTCCTGTTCACTCCAAATAAGCAGCAAAAACTGCTCACCGTCCAGCATTCCGAACTTTGGAAATGACCTCCAACACCATCTGCTAAGCACATCATATCTCAGGTAAAGCTTCCTCTTCAATTAATGTTAGACCCAACATTTAAGCATCTTACAGAGCCTGTAAAATCAATACTGACTTATTGATAGGTAACGGGTACGTCTTTTTCTGTCCCATGATGGCTGACAGCATAAAACTTCATTCTCCAGATGAGAGAATAAAAATAGTGACCCCATACAGGCCCCTGTTCTTGTCTCTTTACTTTGGAAATTAGGTCAGCGCAGCACAGAGAATTCTGGCACACACCCCCCTCGCTCTTGAAAAGAGATCCAGTGTATGCCGGGGCCCCTCTCAATTCCTTCATCTGTAAGGTGGGGATGATGATGGCACTGTGCTGCTGGGCGGTGGTGTGGGATTACATGAGATAATCCGTGGAGAATTCTTCCAACAGTGCCTGGAGCCCAGTGAGGGTTCAACAAATAACAGTGCAACCAAGGCCAGGAGGTAGCTGTAGGGGGCTGAGGCAAATGGGGGTGTTGAGAGTAAGCACTCGCTCTCTTGGATGGGGTCTGGCCCGGAAGGGTGGTGACAGTGGTCCTGGTGCTTCTCTGAGCTGCCAGTGGGCCCCCCAAATGGCTATGCTCAGGACAATCATGAGCACAAGGAAGCTCTCGAGGATTTGGCTGGTGTAACGGGATATGTAGGCTCGGGTAGCACACGCACCACGTGTCCCTCTGTATTTTTAGCTGTTAATTGGAGTGATTTTTGAGCCTTGTTCAATCAAGTGCCTGAACATGCAGGCCCCTGGGCTCCTGACTCCTGAGCCAGGCCAGATGGTGGCTCCAGGCTTTCAGAGCATCTCGGAGCTCTGCCATTTCCAGTTTCTCTGCAGCATTGGGGGGTAACCCCTGTGAGGAAGGCTGGGGGCACAGGTGGCCATCACCCACTGCCCAGCCTGGAGCCAGGCAGTGATGTAATGCTCATGGCTGGGCCCCTGGCTCTGCGGTCTCTTGTTCTTTGTGATCTGGTCCAATCCCTACTTCCTTGGGTTAGTAAGGCGGGAAGAAGGAAGCAGCTACTTACACCTATCGGTGTGGGCTCCATTGACTCTGCAAATTCCCTGGCTCTTCAAATTCAGGTAATAAGTAATCAGAGGCTAAGAAATCTGCATTTCTAGATATAAAGGATAGAGGCCCAACTGGGGAGCTCTAGATGTGGGGTCTGAAGAGCCCGCCTCTCACTGTTTGTGTGACCTTGGGCACAAATTCACTTGTCTGAACCTCAGTTTTAATTATAGCACTTAAACCATGCCAGGAACTATTCTGAGTGCTTTGTAAACACAACAACCACCTTATGGGATAGGAACTGTTATCTTCACTTAACCAATGAGAAAACAAAGGCACAGAGAGGTTAAGTAACTTGCCCCAAATTACACAGTAAGAGGCGGAGAACCTGGATGTCTGCAGTTGACTGCCTGTGTGACCTTGGACAACGTACTACATGTCACTGAACATTGATTTCCTCATTTATGTAATAAGAATGATCATGTGTAACACTCAAAACTGTTGAGAGTCTTAAATAAAATCAAGCCTGTAAAACGTGTAAGGGGTGGCTGGCACAGCGATGGCTGCTTAGCTGGCTGTTCTGAGCAGGGATGGTATGGTAGTAGGCCTGGGGCTGGGGCATTATGGATTTCCACATCTATGTCATTCATGGGTCCATTTTTGGGTCTAACTTAATTTAACCAAAGTAGAGTGAGATCCTGACTATGGCTATCGCCCAGGCTGGCCTGACAAGGGTCCAAAGACTTGCTGAGCCTCTTGGGGAAGCCACACAAGGTCTGGGCAAAGGGATGGTGTCTACCTGGAAGGTCCGTCTTTTAATGACTGGGGGTGGAGCCAGTCGCACTGAATTGAGGAGAGGCAGCAGCTGAGAAGAAAGATGAGTTGGAGGGCCAGAGGGTAAAGGCCAAAGATCGCAGGTGTTCAGAGGTGCAGAGTCACCAGGTAGGCAGGTGGCCAAGAGGGAGGGGAGGAGAGGAAGAGAGAAGAGAGATTAGTGAGCAGAAGGCATCAGGGTGGGGGGGGACGGTGTGGGTGAGGCACGCTCTCAGCTTGTGGGGTGCAGGGCTGAGCTTGCCCTTGGATGGCACAGCACTCCTGGGAGGGAGAAGTGGGCTGGGGTGTGGACCAGCAGCACCTCCCGCACACCAACTGGAGAGTGGCCTCCTGGGCTAGGCCGCCCTCCTTGGTCATGCTGGCACATGGCCCAACATTGCACTGTCAGCCCCCCCGGCCCTGGTTGGTGGACAGAGGCCGCTGGGCTGAGGGTAGTAGACTCAGAGGCTCTGGCTCGGGAGCCACAGGACCAGCTAAATTGGTACTTGAAGCCAGGCTGGTGTGCGGCAACCCCTGGATTCTTTTTTTGGTTGAAAAAGAAAGGTTGGTGTCAGCGAATCTGGGGAGGATGGTCAAAGGCAGTGCCAAGTTGGGCTCCTGGGGGCTGAGCCGGCTGAGGGTGTGACCAGTGTGGGCACAAGCTAAATGCTACTGAGGTCTCACCCGGGGGCTGGAAGACTTGGAAAATAAAAGCTGGAAGGGGATGTCTCCCGGCAAGTTCAACCACTTTCTCGGGGGGAGGCAACTTGCAATCACATTATCTAATGTGATTTTCATTTCTGGAAATTCTTGTTGCTTAGTCCCTCTGCCCTTGGAAGAGGAGCAACCATGCCTTCAGGAAGTGGTTAGAACCCATGTGAAAACAAAGTTGGCAAATGATCCACCTTTTATTTTTGAAGTATTTTAACTCAGAGGCCCCTGGGATGAGCATTAAGAACCAGGGGCTGCCTGGGCCAGGTTTGCATCCAGCTGGGGACTTGGGAGCCTAACCGTGGCCATTCCAGGTCATCCCTACTGCCCCGTGCCCCACCCCTCCTGCTGCCCGAGCCAGGGGATGTGCAATGTTGGGCTCTGTGTCTAGGGGGTCTCTTAGCAGAGTGCTGCCAGGAGACCTTCTGGAACCTACAAACCTTTAGGGTAATTATCTGGTTGGAGCGCAGAGCTGCAAGAGTGCTGCTTAGGTACTCCTGGTGAGGGGGGAATGGAGGTGTGGAGACAGGGCCACAGGGGGAGACTGAGTGCCATAGCCCACAGACACCAGCTCCCCTGCACCCCAACCCAGGGCCCTCCCGCCACTCCCATCCCTTCTCAGCCTCCCTCTCCTGGGATGCTGCAGACTGGAACCAACCTGGTACTTGTGGGCCTATCACCCCACAAACTCCTCAGAGAGCCAAAGACCACTTGCCCTACCTGTCACCTGGATCCCCAAATCCTCTCTTACTCCCCCTGACTAGTTCCTCACCCTGCTGCAGTCATATGCTGTGCTTTGCTGCACTCTGTGGCCAAGGAGCTTCTGAGGTCTTCTAACCCTGCCTTCCCCTTCTTTCTGGGTTGAGGGGTAGAAGCCCTCTGCTCCACCACCATGAGTTCATTCAAGAACCATGACACACAGCCAAAGCGTCTGCAGTTGTGTTGTCTTTTGTGCTGGGGGATGCTTTCTTTCGGTAACATAACAATCCTGTGAGCCCATCGTTTCAAATAAACACAGCTGACCTTCTATTATTGTATCAGGATCAGGCTGGCCGGAAAACCAGGGCCCCTGCGTTCCTGGAGCACATGTCACTGACAGGCCTGCTCTGTCTGTGCTGTTGCCGGCCTAATTTCTCTGCCCAGGACCAGCCTAGCCTGGGCCTCAACCCCAGCCCACCTGCTCATGTTGAGGTCCACTGAGGCCTCTCCCCGGCCTGGAAGCCCAGTGGTCAGAGTCTGGAAGGACTGCTGACCTTAAGAGGGACTGTATCTGCTAGCGAGGTCTTCCCGGTGACCTTCCGGAACTGTCCACGCAATCTGGCTTGTTTGTCTCCATTTCCTCAATCCCACCACCAGGGCCTGCCTGGGGCAGCTGAGGGTGTGGCAGTGTGGGCGTGCATACAGTGGGGACTGTGTGAGTTTCTGGGCACAATGAGGCCCATGACAGGGGACTATACACCTCAAGATTCTCCCCACCCCCTGCACCGCCCTTACTGCCCCAGCCTGAGAGAGGTAAGGATGATCCACAGAATAAGGGGCATTTTTCTGGTCCCAGCTCACTGGGGGTCTCCCTGGAGGAAGCAGTGCCTACCTGCACCCTCCCTGCCCCGGCTGGTGGCACAAATATCTAAAGGTTCCCTGGTGGACTATAGCTGTCTTCTGGGTTCTGCTTCCTAGGGTGCATGGTAAGGAAATGGAAGGAACTGGGTGCAGACTGGGGTGAGGGTAGAACATGGGAGACCACCCAGCACTGAAATCCTCCACCCACCCTGACTGGAGAAGGGCTTCCACTGTCCTCAAAGAGGCACAACAGACTTTATGCTTGAACTGAAATAGCATCCAATCACCTGCCGCCGTCAAGGTCATCTGAAGTAATGACTAACCCAAAAGTCCCTCTGAAGGAGGCAGGCAGGCCAGCAGACACACACACACACACAGTTACACACTCACCGGCAGGGATTCCTACGAGCCACACGGCCTTACAGTGAAGACCATGTATGGAGGGGAGGGCTGGCCAGGCCCTCGGAGGCGCACAAACAGTGTACATACTAACCCCGCCACCCCCCGGGCACAGCGGGGGGCTGTGCCAATCACACGCCCAGCCGTGGGTCTAGCTGTTGAGCAAAAGGGGCCAGTAAGTGCTGGGGGCCCCTAGGAGATGAAGCTGAGCTGGGGGCTGAGCCTCAGGGGTGGATCAAAGGGTCCTGCTCAGTTTTAGGGGCTCACTTACCCGGTGTGGGTAGTCTCCACACTGGCCCTGGGGAAAGGAGGGAAGAAGAGGACTCTGTTAGACATTTGTTGGGGGGCTGTCCCTCAGGGGTGCTGTAGGGACTCTGGGAGATCACCAGCCAGCTCTGGTCCTTGTCTGAGCTCTGTGAGGCAGGAGAGTGGATTTCCCCCTTCTTTCCTGGTTGGCATCAGGGAAGAAAGCCCAAGTCTACAGGGAAGTGGCCTCTTGTAGCCTCGGACAGGACTCCATTGCTGTGTGCCACCTGCCACAGTGGCAGAGTCAGGAGCTATGCTCCTTTTCTGGCTGGAGTGTCTTCACCCTCTGGTGGGTCCACCTAACAGTCCTGGCCAGGCACACCTGGAAGGGGCAGACACTGAGGTAGGATGTAGGCCATGGAACCCTGAGAGACATTGTCTCTAAGCTGGGGTGCCAGGCTCCTGTACCATCTGCCCAGGGACAAGCCCATCAGAGGTTCTGTCAAAACACAGGGGGCCAGGTGAGTGGTTTATAGACACCTCAGAATCCTAGGGGCTCATGGAGGTGGGTGAGGAAACATCGTGAGGGTAGCAGACTGGAAGAGCAGAGAAAAAGGCTGAGAAGGGCCAGGGTCAAGCAGGCTCCCTACCCAAGAAGAAAACATTGCCCAGAGACCAGAGTCTTGTCCCTTTTCTCTCTCTCTGACCACGGCCCCATGGGGACTCCTATTCTGTTGATAAAAACTGAACTGAAAAATATCCACCATGGACCTCTTTCTATCTGCTGGGAGGCTCTTCCCCAAGATGAAAATCCTACAAAATCTTCAAGCTTACCTTTTCTCCTTTTTGTCCTTGAGGTCCCTAGGAAGAGATGGAGAGGAGCATTAGAAATGAAGGTACGAACACAGTGGCCCAAAGCCTCTCTGGCGGGGAGCATTAGGATAAGGTACCAACCGGATGTCCTCGGGGACCCGTCAGACCCTGTGGGAAGGAATCACACACAGGTTAGTTGTGAGAAGAAGGTGCCAGAACTGTAGACTCAGGGCTGGGCAGGGATGGTGCTAGAAGCAGTGCTTGCAGGTGCTTTATAGAATGTCCAGTTCCGAGTACTGAGCTCCATCAGCTACAGCCTGGCCTAACTGTGCCTACACCAGTCAAGGTGGCTTGGCCTTGACTCAACTTCCTTACTGTCAACGGTGGGACTGGGAGGCCCTGTCTCTGCACATGGCCCTGATGAAGAACAGGTGCGGTCCTCCATGGATCCCCAGGAAGGAGGTATCTACAGTCAGGTGTTGCTCTGCTCCTGTGGGGCGCGCCCCGCCCCCCAACACACCTGTCTTCTCGCAGAATGAGGAGGTAGGAGAAAAGCCTCCAGCAGACACTGGCATGTTATATTTTCTATCCTCCTTTTGCCTCAGCATGAAACCCACTGAGCAAGAGGGACTCCTGGGTTGGAGAGGTGATGGGGATGGGGCGGAATGGGAGGGATTTCGTTCAGACATTTAGGGCTTTGGAGAAAGAGAAGATATAGTAGGCTGGGAACTTAAGCCATGTTCTGGATCTTGGGGTTGCCTCCCAGGTTGTCCTGTTACATTCTCAGGACTGAGGAAGGAAGTTGGGCTTGCATGGACCCTTGTTCTCTGAGGAGCACCCAGCATCCAGCTGCTCTCTCAGGAGGCTGAACTGAGTCCGGCATTGAGGAGGCCTCATGGCTGGTGTGTAAGAAAGAGGGGAAAGAGAGGTTTGTCATGTCTTGAGACCCACTTTGAGGCAGGCTTTCAGTACGTGCTGCACTCACACCCACACTGGCCTGTGAGGAAGATGCTCCACTCCCCAGATGAGGTGATGGTGACAAGGTCCTGCAGCTCAGAGAGTCATGGCACTGGATGAGAGCCCAGGCTTGTCTGACCACAAGGGTCCAGCTGTTCCCACTCGGCCACACTGTCTGAATTGGGCAGGGCCTCAGCAGGAAGGGTTTCTCAGTTTGGACAGAAATATGGGCAGGGCCCCAGCTTTTGGACCCCTGTTCTAACCACCATCCTGAAGGCGTGTGAGGACCCACCTGCTGAACTAGTCTCTCTGGGGCCTAAAAACTCAGGATCCCCATGGAGCAATCCCTTTGGGTGGGAAAACAGCCTTTCTCTTGCCTATAACTTGCCAACTGGACCCATCTCCAAACTGGGAAATTCCCAGGAGGTTGCTGGAAGGGGACAAGTGGCTTTGGGACAATACATGGGACGCCCCAGCCCATGTGGCTGCACAAGTGCCTTGTATCAGGTTCAGCAGAATATGATGCACAGAGCAAGAAGTGTAGGCCAACAGGTCACCCTGCCTCAGGACAAGCGGAGTGTGATGGGCAGAGCTGAGGGAAAGGTTGAGGGGAAAGGGAGGGGCTGAGAAAAGAGCACAGAGGCACAGGACTGCAGAGACGGACAGGATTGAATCCAGATGTCCCAATCGGAGATCCATAGGACAACTTTTGTGGAGACATTTTGTGGGTGCCACATAATTTTATTACAATTACTTGCCAACATGTAAGAGCAAGAAATGCAATAAAAATCTAGATTTCAAGTTTCTCTTAAAAATTTCAACGTCCAGGGCCTCCCCTGGTGGCGCAGTGATTGAGCGCTGGGCTGCGAAGATGCCCGCAGCCTCTGCAGCACAGGTTCGATCCCCGGCCGCTGGAGAGGGTCCTACATGGCGCGCAGACCTCTCCTGCTGCCTGCTGCTCCCCTCAGCAGTGTATTTCGTCAGTCTGCCTGTTCTGTTCCCCGCTCTAGCTCTGGTGAATTCTCTCACCCTCCCGTGCTTCTGGCTGTACCCAGTGCTTGTATAAATAAATAAATAAATCTTTAAATAAATAAATAAATAAACAAATCTTTAAATAAATAAATAAATAAATAAAGGTTAAGTAATTATTTAAAAAAAATTTCAATGTCTATTAATACTAAATGTTAATTGCCTCTAGCTGGAGCTCAGCTGTCCCTTTAAGATGGGGCTGGGTGCTTGGCTGCTTCCTGTGCACTGGGTTCTGTTCCGAGTGCTTGGTGTGAGTGGACGCCTCCTGTCCTTAGGAGTTATCCTGTCACTGTGAGTGGTGGGACAAGACATGGAGTCAGAATCCAGCCTCTCCTTTACAGCACTCATGGGACTCCCTTCCCCTATCCTGTCCACACCTTCAATCAGGTTCTTAGAGCTACAGTGAGGTAGGTGGGGCAGTGGTGACCCTTTTTTGACAGTTGAAGACACAGGTTAAGCATATGAAGGTAAACCTTAGCCCCCATGTGGGATGCCCGGCAGAGGGGAAACCATCTGGGGAGGGAAGTGGGTGGGAGACAGACAGATGATAAGCAGGCCAAGATAATTAGACAAGACAGCATGTTGAATTAATAGCTCTGGGTTCCTGTGCCAAGCCAAACAGGAGTCTAATGGCTCTGTGGCCTGTCAGATTTTGATGGATGACTATGAAGCAGACAGGGGATTTGTCACACTGATGGGGCTCATGGGAGATGGGATCACCACCACCCCACACTTGCCCTGCCGTCAACTTAGCTATGACCCCCAAACTCATGCCTTGACTTCCCCTTTTGTAGAGAGAGGATAATAAGCCATTATGAGAGTTACAGAACAGGACCTAGTTGGTGACCATCATTATTATTTCTGGGTTGCCATCAGCACCCTGGCATCCAGAACCCTCATGCCTCTATGACAACAGCAGCATGGAAGTTTCCTCCTGCCACAATTCCTATACTTCATATATATGTACAGCATACTTAGGAACAGGGTCAGGAGAGCAAGAAATGCATTTGCTGTAGAGGTGGCCACGAGAGGGAGGAAAGCAGGCCTGGGGGATCTGATTCACAAGCCAACTTTTCTGCCAGTGTCCTCCAGTGCCTCACTGCCCTTCTTCTAGTTCTTTAGACATTTCAAGAGCTTTCCTGCTTCAAGGCCTTTGCACGTGCTGTTCCTAATGTCCAGAATGCTCCTTCTTGTTCCCTTTTCTTTTAGTTAAATCCTCATCCTTCAGGTCCCAGTTCAAGTTTCTTTCAGGAAAGCTGTCTCTGCCCCTCAGCCTGGGAGAGGCTGTTAAACTGAGGTTTTTCAGGGTATCCGGTATTGCCTTTTGAAACACATGTTGCCAAGGCAATGTGTTAATGATGGGTGATTATATAAACACTCATTAGAATGTGAACCGTGTCCGGTCTATATCCTCAGCACCTGACACATTGCCTAGCACACTGTAGACACTCAATACACATGCATTAAAGGAGGCAAAGTGATAAAGAAAGTGAGAGGGAAATAAAGAGGAAGAAAGGAATACATGTGGAGGGAAGGAATTTAAGAAGTAGGTTTGGATCCTATTCTAGATACTCCCTAGCTGTGTGACTTCAGTTAAATTACTTTAGCTCTCTGAGTGTCACTTTCCATAGCTGTCAAAGGGGATGCTAACAGGACCTGGAGTGCAGGCTACACTGAGGATTAAATGAGATAGTGTGTGTAGAGTGCTTAGCCTGGTGCCCACCACATAGAAGACCTCAGTAAACCTTAATGGATTCTGAGGCCAGAGGAAGCTGAGTTGTTGAGGGTCTCATGGCCAGTTTGGGAGAGCTGGGCTAAAGTCAGGTCCCCATGGACACTCCTTGTGTCCCTTTCCATCCTCAAGGTTACCCACCTCCCTTCATGGAGACTATTCTGGCTTCACAGCCCTGGCAATGATGACCCACTTGTGGAGAGTGTCCTCACCCCAGGACTTGGAGCAAGGCATGGGACAGACCCCAGCTGGACAAGGAGTCTCACATGTTGCTCTTACTGGACACTACAAATACAGGGCCCTTCTGCCAACCCCACAGAACAGGAACAGGAGGTGGCCCCTCACAATGTAGTGAGACCACCTTGGAGGCAGGAAGTCATCCCACCCCAGGGCCGCCCCATCTGCTCTTCATGACCATTGGTCTTGCTGGGAACTGGTCTCTCCCCTGGACTGGCAGGATCCTGACAGGAGGAGGCCTTTTCCTTCTGGAAGGGGTGACCTGGAGGAGACTGAAGAGAGCAGGATCCTTCAAAGGGTCTGTAGAAAGTGATGGGGCAATGGCCTGCTTTCCCAGCTGCCCACAGGGGATCAGGCTAAGGAGAAAAGGTTCTTTCCTAGAGAAAATTCTGGGTGGGCCCCTATGCCCTGGGGTGAGTGCTGCACACAGGCTAGTTGGAAGGCACAGGCGGTGGCAGTTGGGAGCACTGAGCAGGCCTCTGGCTCCATGTGACACTGGCCAAACCTGGACTCTCTCTGGACCCCCATTTTTTACTTTTCTGGTGGGCAACCCCCCCACCCCACATTGATGTGAAGACCCAGGCGGGGTGTTGTACACAGCTGGGAGTGATTTTAGGGCAGCCACTCTCACTGTCCCTGTCAGCCCCTCTCATGGGAAGGAGGAAAGCTGGGGTCTTACCATCTCCCCTTTGGGTCCAGGGTGGCCCTGGAAGAAGAAAAGCATGAGTGCCAGGTACATTGTCTGTGCCCCAGAAGCCCCCCACCACATCTGCACCACCCTCCACCACTGATTGCTCATTTTGCACTTTCCTTGCTTGCACGCTCGCCTGCTCACAGCTCGTCCACCTGGCCCTTGACCCTCCCGCTGCTCTTTGGGCTTATTTAGCAGCTCCCAGCCCTTGGAGAACAGAGACATGAGGGTGTCTTTCTGGACCTCAATCTCTGCCCCATCCCTACTCCCAGGGCAGTCTTGAGGGACACTGGGTCCTGTGAGACGAGGGAAATGACCTCCATGGCCCCTTGTGTGCTGAGCTCTGGCTGCAGATGAAAGGTGGGGATCACCTCATCTGAGAGCCGGTGGGGCTGGGCTTGGCACAAATGCCTTCACTTTTGGGGCGACCTCTGCGGGCACTGGAGGGGTTTGCTCTCTTCCAGCTCACTCCTTCCTAGGCATGGGGACGGGGTCTCCTTTCCTCTGAGTCTGGAGCCCAGTCAAAAGGATTAAAGGGAACAAAGAAGGCAGCTACTGACTGGGAGCAGTCTCCATGTGGACTTGGGCAGGTGTGAGGTCTCAGCCTGGATAGGAGGCCATATGGAGAATGGGGGTGTGGGGGTGCAGTGGTGTTGGGGAGTGAGGTCAAGTATGGGAGCGAGTGCACAGGTTGCTCTTAGAAAATCAGGTTGAGCTCTCCCTCTTCTTCCCCTAGCTGCTCCCCTTCTAGGAGTGCCCCAGAATCTCCAAATTCTAGGGGTGGCTCTGGCTCTAGGCACTGAGAGGCCAGGTTGGAAACTGTGGACTCATGCCTGGGGAGCCCCAGGGTCAGGAGCAACACATTCAAATGGCTCCTCCTCCCCTTCTGGGGGGCAATGACTTTCTGTGTCAGTAACACTCACTCTACCTAGGGGAAGGAATCAGGGCCTTGCAGAAGGCCTAAGACACCAGGTTGGTGACCCTGAACAGGGAAGGGGAGATCCCACAGCTCAAGAGGGTCCACTCACCAATTTGCCGTCCAGACCAATGGGGCCCTGAAAGCAAAAAGAGGCAGCTGTGAGGACTAAGCACTACAGGTCTGTGCCAAAGAGACAGCCTGGGCCAGTGGGTCAGACTCAGCAAGTTAAGGTTCAGCGTTCCCACTGGACTACTTCCTGGGCATGTGACCATGGTGAAGCCTAAGCCACAGTTTCCCATCCTAAAATGGGAGTGAGAATAACAGAACCTTCCACCAAAGGTCCTTGTGAAGAGGGACCCAGGCTGGGGAAGACCCTGATGGGTGGTGGTCACCATTTTGACCAAGGACCTCTCCCTCCCCCCTAGAGGAGAGTGGGCAGTGTTTCTGTAGACAGCCAGGGCCGGCCAGCACCAAGGCCGGAGGAAAAGGGGAGCAAGTTGCTATGCTGCCCTTCCTCTTCCAGCCTGTCTCAGCCCCTTAGGCGAGGGTCAAGGGACACCCAGATGCCACCTCGCTGCCTCCCCTAGAAGCTCCTCTCACAGCTAGGGCACAGTCGCCTCCCTGCGAGGCACCAACTCTGTTCCAGGCTCCGTGTCCTGCTCGGCTTACCAGCAGTGACTTCACCTGCCTGTTTGTGACCTGCTGCCTTTATTTCCCTGCCCTCTCTTGCATTATAAACCAGGTGCCGACCTCTCTAGGCAGTTGCTCCCTTTGAAAGGCTGTGGGAGAGGGTCCGTAGTGACCTGGGCTTGGAGGGCAACAGCAGCTTCTGGGCTTGAAGCTTAATTCACTTGAGGTTTAACTCAGCCAGGCTCAGGTCACCAAGTAGCCTCGGCCTTCCTTCCCCACTTACCGGAAATCCAGGGAAACCTCGAGTGCCCGGCTGACCCTGCAAAGAAGGGAGAGCAGTGAGGCTGGGCAAGCAGGAGCCGAAGTGAATCCTTAGCCCCCGCCGGTTCATTTTTGCCCCCAGAGAGCCCCCGCTCTCCAGTTCCTCTGGAATCACTCGTGGGAGAACCACGGTGAGGTGGTTGTTGGAGAGAAAAGTGGGAAGCAGCATGTCGTAGGAAATCTGGGGGTGGGGGAGGAAAAGGAGGCGGCCAGCATCCTTTGGGTCCCCCTGGGCAGCAGCCCCAGAGTGCACCTCGCTGCCCTGGAGCCTGTGCCCTTCAGAATGTAAACGGGATGGAGAGCAGCCACAGCAGGGGCGAGGCACACAGCACACCGCGCCCTTCCTGTGTGCAGTCATTGCTCAGGGCCACATATCCCGGGACGGTTTGGATAGCAGCAGATCTCAGAACTTGACCTTTGAAGTGTGTGTTTTCAGGTCAGGGCAGGCCAGCCCGCTCACTTTCTTCTACCTAGCCAGCAGGTCCTCCTAGCAGTGGGGTCATCTCTGGAACCCCTGATCTTTAGGGACACCGAACAATTCATGTTTGTTTTCCTGCAGGGAAGACTGGAGGTGTGGAGTGCAACTCAGAGCGATTTTCAGGTTGGAGACAGGAAGCGGGCTTGCTGGTCACAGCCCAGTGGTTATGGTCAAGGCTGAGGACTAGACAGGTTCTGAGGTTACAAAGACACGAGGCTGTGAAGATCAGGGTCAGGGAGGGCTGACCAGGAGGTCCAAGGTAACGGAGAGATAGAAACGTGAGTCACGTCACTCCTTTCTCAAAAACCAGCCAGGGTTCTTCTAGTTACAGTCAAGGTCATCCTCCATCTCATCCTGACTCAACATTTAGCTCCCCTTTCCTGCCTCATGGTTCCACCTACTCTTGGCTTGGGCACACCAGCTTACCGCCTTCCCCTAAATGCCCAGATCCTCAGCATGCCCAGCTCTTGGCGTGGAGTGTCTCCTTGACCAAGACAACCATATTCTCTTCCCACACTTGGCTTTTCTGAGTCTGGCAGCCTGAGTTCTAATCCTGCCTCACCAGTGAGGGCTGAGTGACTCGGAACGAGTTGCCTGACTCAGTTTCCTCTTCTAGAGGATAGGGAGAGAAGCACAACCTGCTAAGGTCATTGAACAACATTCAATTCTGTTTGTGAGATCTATTGAATTGGTAGCTGCTATCACTGGGTGTTTGTTGGGTTGCACAGAACCGAGGAGCACCAGAACATAGCAAGGTTGCTTTTGATCTAATGTGTCTTAGCATTCATGGCGGTTTGTCCTTGCCAATCAGGAGTTTCAGAATCAGATCCTATCTAGAGGAAGACTTCTCTGGATCCATCTGCTGTGAACCTGAAACCTCTCCAGGATGACTGGATCCTTCTTGAAGTCATGGACGTGTGTGGACAGAGGCCTCTGCTCCAGGGACATGACCGGGTGGGGTGGGGACACTGCCGTCAGGAGGGAGGCACTGGTAGGTCGGGAAGCAAGCTGGAGTAAGCTGCAGCCTCAGGATGGGCTGGTGGCAGGCATCCAAAAGCACAGGAGGGTGGAGATGCCACTCATATATCAGAAGGGCCGGGCCTTCTCTCCTCTCAAGGATAAGTGTTCCTAAGAATAGCATTAAGGAGAAAACCCGGAAACCATGCATGGTAACCCTGAGACCTCCCCGTGTAAACTTTCAACTATGTTGAGCTGAGAGGCCTAAGAAAAGGTCAGCAGGAGCAGATTCCAAGAAACATCTTCAAGCCCCACTCCCAAGAATGTTTACACGGTCAAGATAATCACACGGTTTGCTAATTACAGAGCCTGCCTTGGTAGCAGGATGCATGGCTCCAACCTAGAGCCAAACCCAGGGCTCACCAAGGCTTTTTTGGGGATCTTGGGGAAAATGTTGTCATGGACCAAGAAGAAGCTGGAACTCCACTTCTTGGAGAGAGTGGGCCTGGGCAGGGCCCTTGGAGACATTTGGAACTGAATTTGAATTTGCATCTCTGCAATCACATGCTGAGACAGCTCTTCTGATGTTTATTGGCTCATCCTTTTTATTTGCGGATGCCAGTTTGTATCTATACTGACATTTTCTACTAGGTGGTGTGTCTTTTTTCCTATTGATTTGAGTAGAGCTTTTGGTCAAGAACAGCAACTTGTCAGTGTTGTAAATATCCTTTCCAGTTTTACCTTTGTTTTTTTATTTATGGTATGTTTTCTGCCATATGGAAGTTTCAAGGTTGTCTTGACAATCTTACCCATCTTCTCCTATGGCTTCTGGGTTTTATGTTATGTTCCAAAGAACCTGCCCCAGTTAAGAAATATAAAATGCTCCTGCATGCTTTGTCTTGGCATTTTACGGTTTCATGTTTTATTTAAGTAGTATATTCATTTGCAATTTATTCTCATATAGTGAATGAAGTAGAGGTTTCTGCATTTTTAAGAATTCATTTTCATTCATCCCAGAAACATTTTCTGGACAACTTAGTTTCTCTTTCTATGGTGAAATGAGACCGAGTGCGTTTGGCTTTATTTCTGACTTCCTTCGTCTGTTCTATTTGTTGTCTTAATTGCTCTGTGTTTATATCTTGATATTGAGCAGAATGAGCCCCCCTCCTCCTCATTCCCCTTACTCTATTTTCCAGAACTTCCCCAACATCCTTAGAACCTTATTTTTTTTCCAAATGAAATTGAATTATCTAGTTGGACTCCCAACTCAATCTAACTCCTAATCTAATCACTGGGATTAGGTCATATTAAATTTAATATTAATGTACATTGCTTCATGGATGAATAGTATGTCTTTCTATACAGGAATAGGGAATAAGCTTTATATTTCTCTATTCAAGGCCAGGATGGAGAGAAGCCAAATACATCCCAGCAATTTGGAAGTAGACCCCCCATGTCTATTCCTCTCCACCTTCCTCTTACCTGCATCTTGTTTGGGGAAAAGAAACACAGACAGACAGAAGGTTCTGTTCTCCCTCCCTCTTATCTGGCCTCTGCAGGAGGCTCAGTGGTGCGTCTGCCCAGAGCCTACTTCATTCTGTCTCCCACACTCCAATCAGTGTTGACCAAATGAGACTCTGCTGGGAAATGTGTAATCACTGGCTGGGCTGGGAGAGGAGAGCCCTGTTCTGTGCAACATCGGCCGATTTCATGGTGCAAGGACACCTACCATGCCCAGTTCCAACAAGATGCCACAGAACACAGGATTGGGCCAGGGTGCACCTTCTGCTCTGGTGGGCCTGTGAGTCTACTTCCACTCACCACGCGCTGACTTCCAGTGGCAAAGGGAGGAGAAGACACCTCCCTGGACGTTCCAAGGACGTCTGACATGCATCACGTTCTCCCTTAACTCATCTTCCCAAACAAAAATCTCAGCACCATTCAAGTCAGAAGTGTGGGCTCATTTTGAACTCTGTCCCCACTTTTATCATCACTGCATCCTGTAAATTTCAATTCCAAAAAGTCTCCCCAGTCTAGCCCTCTCACCACTCCTGACTGCATTCTTGTCCAGGCCTTGATGGAGCAAGTGCCTTCCAGCTAGAGCCCACCTGCAGCATCTTCTGAATATTCCCCCCACTGAAGCAGGGAGAATCAGCCTTTCTCTGATCTTGTCCTCTTTGATCGAATACAGCTCTCCACTGTGCTCAGGAGAAAGTCCTGACCCTCAAAACATCATAAGCAGGTGCTTCAGGGACCTGCCCTTGTCCACCTGCCAGCCTTGCCCCTCACCATCCTTGTCCTTGCTTTGTTCTAGAAAGACCTGTACCCATTTCTCTGGTAGTTTACAGGAACCTCTCCTGCCTCTAGGGCTCATGCTTCTCTACAGGCCTTGTTACCTGGGTAACCACGGTACGTGCTTGCTTATAGTTTTTCAATCCCTTCCCCCAGAAGCCACCTTCACACCTGCATCTACCCCAAGAGAGGCCCTCCTCTGTGTCCCCACATCTCCTGCTGTGCACGTCCTGGCTGTGCACCAGCTACACTGCAATAGTCTGTGGCATTGCCATTCTCTGCAAAGGGGCTGCAATCAGATTTCCATTTGCTGCCCAGCACATAGCATGCACTGTGTTGCATTTAGCAGCAAATATTAATGGACTGAATAAGCAAAATTCGATATACTGTACATGTGGATTCACTTGCTTAGGCTGGGCAGTGGATGAGGTCCAGAAACTCAGACAGCACCTTCTGGCCCCTGAAGAGAAGCTCCCTGAAGATGGGGGGCATTTCCTAGTCTGGCAGATGACCTTCCCAGTGCCTCTTGGGCTAGCCAGCATCTGGGGTCCTACCAACCTTTCAGTTTAACAGGGCACATTGCTCTAGCATCTTGCCTGCACGTCAAGTGACACATCCTTCTCTAATGTACCTGGATGGGTCCCCCATTGGTTTGGGCCATTTGTCAAGCTCCAAGGGAGGTGGCAGGTGGCCCAAAGAGCAGCAACTCTTGTTCTTGCTAACAGCATTTATTTTGGGGCCTTCCTGGCTGAGTGGAAAGCAACATGGCTCCCATCATCCCCGCAGAGGGTTTGACCACTTGACCTCTACCCCTTAGTGAATAAATGTCCCCTTTTCTCCCCAATCCTGTGCTCTCATGAGCTCTGTGTGACTCCCCAGGAGGAGCTTGAGTGGGTTGCCATGAATCTAGTGAGGAATCAGTAGGGGTGGCCTCAGCCATGTGGGTGATGGTAACCCATGCAGGCCCAAGTAGGAGAATGGCGGGCTTGGTCCAGCCTCCTGGTGCCATAAAGCCTTCCCTAGCACCAACAAGGCACCCACAAGGACAGTTTTTTTCTCCTTTAGGTAAATATCCACTTAAAATAGTATAACTTAAGGGCCTCCCTGGTGGCACAAAGGGTTAAGTCTCAGCACTATGAAGCTATCTGCGGCCACTGCAGCACAAGTTCGATCCCCCAGCCAGGGAGCTACCCACATGGTGCAGCAGACCTCTCCTGACTCGCCTGCTGCTCCCCTCAGCAGTGTGTTTGTCAATCTACTTGTTCTGCTCCCCACTCTCTCTGGTGAAGCCTCTCACCAACCCCACCCCCACCCAGTCTACACCCCAGCTCTTGTATGCATAAATAAATAAAATAAATCTTTAAAATAGTATAGCTTAAAACATGGAAGGGGGCATTGGAGCAAGAGTGCTGACTTAGGAATGAGGCCCACTTGGCCCAACCCAAACACCAGCACTAATTCCAAACTCCAGACTAGCAGGATGGCCATGGACGTTAGGAAACTGTTTCCTTCTCTGTAAATGGGCTGGCGGGCCTGCATCACAGCTCTCTTGGGAGGACTGAATGAGACAAGGGTCTTCAGCATCGGACCCACGGCTGCCAGGTGCCCAGGAGACGGAAATAATCATGTTGCCCGAGTAGGTGGTCCTTCTCACTGCTGGGATCCAAGCCAGGTGGTAGATGTGTCCCTGATTAGGCTTTTCATGCTGAACCACAAGCCAGGAGCAGAGGCAGACCACTGCCCTAAGCATATTCCAGAAGCACGGCCATTTCGACCACTTTTAAGCAGTGAAATGACATTTGCTGCTGAAAGAGTTTCAGAGCATCAACACAATGAATCAGCTGTGGTTTCCCCCGGGGGCAGACAGAGATGGTGGCCAAGGGCTCGCGCTTTGCGCTACACCCGTTTTAACAAGCCTGCCCTGGCTCAGGCTTTGCTGTTAGAACCTGGGGACTGTCTTCTTTCTCTGTGACCTTCCTGTCTCACAGTAGTCCTCTGACTGGGCACTACTTGGATTCAGGGTACCTACCTCACAGGAACCCCAACACACAAGGTGACTTATAGCCCATCGGGGCAGCAGCCCTGTGAGTCCAGAGGCAGTGGCCAGTTACCTGAGGCTGGTGGTCGGCTATGGCAGAAGACCTGGAGCTGCACGGCCCAGGCTGGGTGACCAGCACAGCCACACTCTAGCGTATGACCTTGGGCAAGTCACACAACCTCTCTCTGCCTTGCTTTTCTCATCTATAAAAAGGAGGTAGTAATGGGATCTACCTCTGGGTTGTGAGAATTAAGTGAGTTTAAACTTGCCACAGAGTAAGTGCCAAAGATCTGTCCTTAACCTTATCATTATAGTCTGAGCCCAGAGGAAACCTTCACATCCTGCCTCCAGGATTTGACCTGTCTGCCAGCCAAGCCTCCTGCTCCCACCATCCCAAGTCTCCCAGCTGGGTCTCCCTCTCAGTCCCCACCTCTGTCACAGCCTGTCTGCTGGAGCCTCATTGCCCCCACCCTTGCATGTTACTTAGCAGTTTGCCTCTGACCCTTCTGCCTAGACTGTGGGTAGGAGAGACGCCTGCTTCCTTGGATGTTTCTATTGAAGGCAGAAGGGTGAGTAGGCTGGGCCTCAGCCATCCACTGGGCTAATCTAAGACTACAGGGGAGACATGGGAGCAAGAGGTGAGCCACTGAGAACCTGTTGCTGTGATCCAAGCCCTGGGTGACAGGGTTCTTGGGTTCTAATCCTAATCCCAGCTTCTGTGTGGGTCCCTGACCAAGTCTCTTCTCTCGGGGCCTCAGTTTCCCCTTTTGAGACCACTGTGCTAGCCTACCACCAAAGTCCTTCCCACCCTGACATTTGGTGATTTTATGGAAGCCCTGTGTTTTGGCATCTTTAAGGAAAAACAACTAATCCTCCCTTCTATAGCCACACTATCTTCCTGTATCATCACCCAGGTCCTCCTTTTGGTACTTAAGCAAGCACATCTGAGGGGACACATCACTATTTCTCCAGGGTCCCAGGCATTGGGTGGAGGGCACCACCGGACACAGGACCCAGAGCTACACACAAAAGGAGCCTTTAAGGAGGAGCAGTGGGTTGGGCCTTTGCCAAGACCTGGAGTGCAGGTTCCCCGACCTGGGTCAGCGAATCTGGATTTCAGGTACCTGCTCCATGGGTTTCCGGAAACAAGGCTTGTCCCCTGGACAGCTGGAGCACACCCAACTACACACACACACACACACACACACACACACACACACCCGTGAAGAAGAGCCAGCACTTTCTCTCCTTTGTCTGTAAACAGCAGGGCCACCTAGCAGCTGCTGCTGCTCTGTGGCTGGAGGAATGGCTCCCGAGAGCCCTCCCGCGAGGCTGTAATGGAGGTATATTTAGTCAGGCCGCTTTCTCTCACATCAACAGCAGCACTGAGGCCCGACCTGGTGACCACATCATGTGTGGTGGCCGCCACACCCAGGGGCCAGGCCAGGACTTGTGTCCCCTCTACCCCCAAGCCCTTCTCATTACCTCCCCCAGCCCTCGCTCCCAAGAAGAGCAGAAAGCACTTACTGGAGGGCCTCGGGGACCAATGATGGACATGCCTGCGTCTCCAGGGGCACCCTGTGGGAGAGAGGAAGAGAAGGGGGGCAGGGGCCGGAGGGGAGGGGCGGGGGGGGGGAGGTAAAGATGAAAGAGAGGAACTGGCAGCGGGGGAGGAGGGCAGGTAAGGGGGGCGGGAATGCCCGAGGACAAGAAGTGGGTCCAAGGATGCCGGGGAAGATGAGGGAGCCAGAGGGGAGGATAAGCAAAGGGGTGAGGGGGTTAGAAAGGATGGAGACAGGCAATGGGGAATCAGCAGGAATGTAAAGGGGTGAGATGTGAACAGAGCGGGGAAAGGGGGCGGTGGGTCCCCAGGCCAGAGAGGGGAGAGTGCAATGGTGGGCAAGGAGGTGGGAGGGAGAGGCCTCCTCTATGACCCTCTTGGGACACTTTCCCACCCGCCCTGACCCACTCAATTTTCAAAGTCCCCGAGGTCCTTCCCCACTCAGGTGGGGTGACAGCTGCCTGCCTGGGCCCAAAGCAGAAGGCGCAGATACACACTAGTGTGGGCCCAGCAGCCCTGAGCCTGAGAGAGGGCTGGCGCTGCCTCAGGCTTCCTGGGCCTGGTTTGAGGGTGATCTTCAGGGGTTGATCTGGGGCTGAATTTTTAGCCCTGAGAGGATGGTGGGTGCTGCCGGGCTGGAAGCTCAAAGTGCCATCCAAGGTGGCTGAACTGACGAGCTAAAGACTTGCGTGTGCGTGTATATGTGAGAGGTAGAGAGGGGTGACGGAAGAGGATGTAGGGTGCATGGAACACAATCTGGGGATGAGAGGAGACGCTCTGGCAGAGCTGAGACTGTGCAGCTGGGAGGAGGGCAGGTGCCATGTGACCAGCAGAGGCAGGTGAGGGAATGGAAATGCCCGGGGCCCTCGCGCCCGGGTCTTGCTCTGCCGGGCAAGTCAGGGGAGCTGTCCTAGCCCACACACCTCCTCTGTGAGCCGAGATTCTGTGAGCTGCTCTGCTGCCCTTACAGGGCAGGGGATGTAGATACATTTTGTAAAATGGCATGCCTCAAACATAGGTGAGGGTTAATTTCAAATTATTATTTATGCCACTGCAATTACACCATAAGTGTAATACAAGGCACTGTAGTGTGATGGTTAAGAGCCAGGATGCTTGGATCTGAAGTTCAGCTGTCCTTCTGGGAAGGACCTTGGGCAACATAACCTCTCTGCCTCAGTTTCCTAATGGTAAAGAAGGGATGTAGGACCTGTTTCATAGGGCAGCTGTGGAACTATCATGGGCTGGCAAGTATGTTATTGTCCTCATGCACTAATTGTGTCCCCTGCCCTCCATGGGCAGTTTGGATCCCGGGGAGAGTGGGCTGGCAGTCTCCATTCCTTTTGGAGGTCAGCATGGCCCGGTGGCTTGAGACCCGAGCCTTGGAGTCAGACACACCAAGGCTCTTCTCCAGCCCTATCACTTTCTGCTGGGTGACCTTGGGTATGTGACCCTGCCTCTCTTTGCCTCAGTTCCCTCTCATGTAAATGGGGATATGATGGGTAGGGGCATGTCAGCGTTACTTGGGAGAACAGAGGCAAACACTTAAAACTGTGTTTGACAGTTAGGGTTCAATTCATGGCAGCTACTGTTATCATTGCTGCCATTATTATTTTGGAGATCGGGGACTCTGTTGCAGAAACACACACTGCAGTGAACAGCGTGGAAGTCCGACTGGCACCAGGCAGTCTGGCTTCTAGGTCTTGCTCATCATCATTGCTGTGGGGCCCTGGGCAAACCCCACCCCTTCTCCCAGCCTCCTTTTCTATAAAAGCAAGCTGGTTAGATGTGCTGCTCTTTGTAGTCCCCCAAGAACCCACCAGGGTTGATGTTCCAGGAAGGGCTCTTGGGGCTTCTCAGGAGGCTCTACTCTTCCACCCTGGGAGTCCCCCCCAACTTTTCCCTGCAGGGATTCTCTCTGTGATGGCCCAAATAGAGCTTCAAAGTCTGAAGGCACCATGGAAGACAGGGCAGGGGGGTTAGAGCCAGCAACAGAGAACGGTGATTGGCGTGGGGTGATGGCCTGAGGCAGGGAAGCAGAGCTGTGAGGCCACATGCAGCCTCAGTGGGGCAAGGGAGACCCACTCAGCCAGAGAAGCTGGGACCTTAGCCTGGGAATCTCAAGACTCCTGCCCGAGGTGTGGAAGCTGTTAGGAAACTGGGTCATGAGCGGCTGTGAGGGCAGAGCAGTCGGGCTGCACGCTCTCCTGGGGCCTGCACGGCAGGGGGGCTGGGACAGCGACCTCGAACAGCCTCCCCCTCCTGAGGCTGACGTGGAAGGGCAGCCTGGAGCAGAGGCGGTAGGAACTGTGGACTCACCTTCTCGCCTGGTTGGCCCTTTACTCCCTAGGGCAGCCACATGCAACACGGGGTGCACGGAAGTGAGGGAGGGAGAGAAAAAAGAGATCAGATGAGAGAGAGGCACACACACAAGAATCTCTGTTAATGGCACTAGGACCAAACAAAAGAAATTGCCGTGAAATAAGAAGAAAACAAAACACAGATGCTGACACATGACATGCCCCGCATCCAACAAGCACAGCGTGTGGACGGCCGTTTGCCTCACGGTCTGGCCCAGCCAGCCCTTCCAGATAACTGGGAGGGAAATAGCGGCCCTTCAAAGTGTCTGTCTGTGTGAGAGAAAGAGTGTGTGTGTGTGTGTGTGTGTGTGTGTGTGTGTGTGTGTGTGTGTGTGAGAGAGAGAGAGAGAGAGAGAGAGAGAAAGAGAGAAAGAGAGAGGGAGAGCTCCCAGGAACCCCCACCCTTGTCGTGGTCCCAGATGGCTGGGTAATTTGTGGTGGGGTTGGAGACTTCCCAGGACTGCATTATGAGGTAGAGTCTAGGCTGTTGGAAGGTCTAGCTGAGCACCAAACACAAAGATTTGCCAGATCAGACACGCTAGGAGTCAGGGCTAGCCAGGCAGGGCATGGAGATGGGGCCAGATGCAGAGGAAACTGGGTAATACCCTGGGCCTCTGTAGCCACAGTAATCAGTATTTACTGCACCCACATCCACCCTACTCCGTAGAGGTGCCACCTCTGGTGAACTAGGAGAACAAGGAAGGCAATTCACACCCACTGGCCCCCCCAGTCTTATCAGGGGGCTCACACTAGGCTCCTACTAGGCAGCCAAATGGGCCCATTCTCACATTTAGAAAGTGCAAGCAGCAAGAAAACCCCAGTGTGGCTTGAATGCAGCCTAGTATAGAAGGAAGTGGGGAGATGTCTGTGGCCCTCCTTCCTGGTGCCTCTACTCTGGGTCAGAACTAGGCTCCCAGGGACACCTCTTGGGGGATCTGACCACAGGCCCAAGAGGGAGAGCAGGAGGAGGAGGGCCTGGAGGGTTGCTTGCATTCTGCCTCCTTCCCCGCCAGGCTTCTGCCCTGAGGGTGGGGACTCCTGAAGCTTACCTGGAAGGAGCAAGGACTATGGTATCTGGCAGTCAGTGTGGATACAAAACCCAGCCCCACCCCAGTCCTGGACAAATTGAGTCTCAACATGCTCATCAATGAAACGGGGACTCAGAAGGCTGTGGTGGAGCATATGCCTGGCTTGGGCCCACCTGGGCAGCCCCTGAGAAAGGCCAGCTCAGTGACATTTCCCTGCTCTGCCAGGGAGGCACCCAGAGGCTGGAATCAGAGAATGGAGCAGAGACAGAGGCAGCAGGAAGTCCACAATGCTGTGGACTGGACAGTGGTGAGAAGACCTCACATGGGCTGACCCAGGGCCCCCAGCCTCCACTTTGACAGAAAGCCGTGGGATGGCCCTGGGAGTGCAAAGTTCTGTGACATGGAACACTGGTGCTGAGCCTCTGAAATTTCCTGGGTTCTAGGCCAAAGCCCCATGGCTTCACCCTAAGGATCAGACCTCCTTAGAGCTGTGATGTCAATGGTTGATGGGGAATGACGTCATCAGGTTCAAGTGCATGTTTGGAGAGTCAGGTTGCCTGGGTTAAAGCCCCAGAAGAAACCGAGGTCACCTGACCTTGGGGAAAACAGAACATCTGAGCTTAATTTTCTCATCTGAAAAAATGGGGTTGAAATGGTTTCTACCTCTTGCAGTTCTCATGAGAACCCAGTGGGGTTAATGGGCTCTTAGCGTGAGGCCCAGCCCGTGGTTAGCATTCTCAAGTGTTAGCTGTGACCTGGATGCCCTTCTCTTCGCGCCAGTATCACACCAGGAAGCAAACAGCACACAAGGATGCCACACACAAGCCTAAGGCCAGTCCTGCCCAAGAGGTGTGGTCAGGAGGCAAAGCAGGAGTGAGCAGGATAGGTGGTGTGGGGTGGTCAGGGGAGCCCGCGTGGAGGTTGAGGCTGATGACCAGTGGGGAGTTACGGGTCAATGGGGAGAGCAGCTGGGGCCACATCCTAGACTGGGCTGGATGGTGTTTGGCCATCAGTGCCTTAAGCTGCCACCAGGAGCCTCCGCTGTCTGTTCTAGCCCCTCTGAGACTTGGAAAGACTCTGGTGCTGGAACCTCAAGGCCAAGGGCCATGATTCCATTTTGGAAAAATACTCTCCCTGTGAAACATTCTTGCTTCCATTTCACCACCGGGGAATGGCAACTGCTGGAACTCTCAGACCCTGGTGAGATGTTGGAGGCATTGCCTGGAAGCTCTGTTTCATCCCCTCTGATGAAGCGTCTGTCTAGGGAAGGGGTGCCAGAGGCTGGCTCCACTGCAATGCTGTCAATGTTGGTGGCATTTCTCACCATATTTTGCTGCCCTTGCTGGGACATGGGTGCAGAAATAGCTGTAGATCTGAGGGTGAGAGGCCAACCTCGGGGGCAGGGGAAGGAGTGGGTGGGAATCCTCTCAATGTGGAGGTGCTCAGCTTCGCTCAGTATTGGTGGGCGAAGAGCTTTGTTCATACAACTTTCTTGGGTCTTTCCTTTGCCACAGCCACTCTCTGTCGAGTTAAGCCATGTTGCAAAGATCTGAAGTCTCTGCATAAAACTTTTTCGCTTCTCCTTAAGCCTGTTCACCTCTGAAGAGGACTCTGACAGGGGGAGGAGAGGTCCTGTCCCCTCCCTGACGCTGGGCTAAGTAACACCTTGCCAGGGTTTGGGGGACAGGCCAGCATGGAGAAACAAGCAATGGCCACCCAAGCAGGTACAAATGTACCAACTCACCACACGTCCAGGCATCCCAATGGCACCTTTGTCCCCCTGATGAAGGAGGCAGAGACAATTAGATGTAACTGGAACCAGGCCAGCCTGTGAAGGGCCCCGTGTACTAGCTGTGTACCCAATACCTGGTTCGCAGGGCAGTTGACTCAGTGCCCAACTGTCATGCCTGTGAACTTGCCCATTCAACTCCTGTGGACATCAGCAAGCAAATGTCCCTACCACTGTCTGCACTCAGATGTGGGGTTGTGTCTCATGAGGAGTCCAAGAACCTTCCTCCCTTAGACCTCTGTTGTCACGACCCATGCCAGCTATGACCAGGCGGCTTGACTTCCGGACACGGAGCAGGGCGAGGCAGCGCCTATGCAGCAGATGGGTGAACGCCTTCCCTAGGTCTGTCGCTGCCAGAGCTGGGAGCAGAACCACGCTCCCTGGCTCCTCCTCAGGTCCCCTGTCTGAAAAGACTATGGGCAGAGTTCTACTCCATGCCCCTCCTCACAGCCACCCCCTGGACAGACAGGAAAGACCTTGAGCCATGTGGATTCAGCCGCATCACGAGTTTCAGATGCTCAGAGAGAATCGCTTTATTTTGTAGCCAGGGATTACATCTTCCCACTCTGGAAATCAGCTTATTAAATCTTGTTCCTCCCACTTTGGTAGAAAATATTTTTTTGCAATCATACGTATGTAGACATCATAAAATATGGGGTGGGGCCTGGGGTCTGCTTGGAGGCTAGAAGAACGGGCAGGAATGGGAGCTGAAAGTCAGATGGTGTTTGTCTCGGCTGCTGGGCAGGGCAGAGCTGGGCTCATGGGTCCCCTGAGGGTGTGGGCTTTCCTGGGGTGATTCTATTGGTGCTGCTAACACCACTGAGGCAAAATGCCTTGAGGGACAATTAGCACCGCCCCCCAGGTGTAAGTGGATGTGCCAAGGACTAGCAATCAATTCTGAAATTGGGCTCCCCTTAACACATACATCAACTGTGTTTTTGAGTGAAAGGTTCAGCCTGTTCTAAAGAGTGGCAGGGTAGCGGTATTCATTATGAGCATTGAACTGTTTCCTTAACCTCCCTGGGCATCCATGTCTCGCAGATCCTCCCTTGCTGGGAGGATGCCAGAGATGCTGTCTCTGGAAAGCTAGGTCTCCGGGCCTGGAGCCTGCTGAGTGGCGTTTTGCTGTGCCTGTAGGTGGTAGCTCAGCACAGGCACAAGCTAGTGCATTTTATAAGTGTGCCTGTACTTCACACTTTCTGTGTTTCATAGGAGCCAACATCAACAAATCTTTTCATGGGTCACTCCCAGTTCCCTTGGTGTGGAGGGATAAGCAGGCCCATGAGCCATGGATGAGTGGTCTGCCCTTAATGGGGAGCATACCAAGCCCACTGGAGGCTGTGACATCCCCCAGCCCACTCACTCTTGGGCTTTTGAATGATATTTCAGGATGTGTGTTTTGGTGTCTTTTTAAGAACTAATGTTCTTTGCAGTCCTGGCCATAAAACGCTCTGGTTAGGGATAGGCGTGGAGTAGCCAGAGCCTGGAAACTATGTCAGCAGCCCCTGCTCTGCGAATTGCCCCCAAATGCTTTTTAAAGGTGGATGTTTTCAGAAATAACAAAATCTGCCCACGTTCCCCCAGTCATCTGATTTCCCCCTCTTTGGATTTCATGGGACCCATTTACCCATCCTCCTTTGCTTTGGGGCTCATACTTAGAGGGAGAGTTTCCATTTTCAAGACTAAACATTCTCCCACATGCATTTCATTAAAAAGTCACTGCTGGACAGGAATTCTAGAAGCTATTAGATTAGCCAAGAGGTTACGGTGTAATTCATGTCCAAAGGAGGAGTAACTGGGGCAAGAGAGATGCACAGAAGGCCCTGGAATCCAATGGACATGGCCTTCGGCACAGGGAGACTGGGCAGCCTAGTGCCAGCCCAGCTCACCCTCCATACCCCACCCTGCCCCTCTAGCTGGCCATAGCATCTTGCCTGAATCACTCTTCACCCCCATTGCAGGGTCCAAGGTTTCCATTACTTTGCTTTCCAAGTTTCACTCCACCGAGCAATGTCTAAGAAGACTTTAAAGATGACTCTCAAACACTGAGCATACACCCCAAGAAACAAGAGTCTGGAAAAGTGTGGTAACATGGGTAATCAGGCAAGGTATTTTTTATCACTGACTCTCAGTTTCCTCATCCATAAAACAGGAAGAACAATACCCATTTCACTGAGATACTGAACAAATCAAATGTAGGAAGAGTGACTAGCACAGTGCCTGGCACATACTAAGGTTTCAATAAGAGATGGTTGCTAATACAATTTCTACCTTTGTCCCCAAGTCTCCGCTATTACTTGGCAAAGCCTCCCCAGAATTCAGAAATGACTGAAAAAAGTTTTGAGTCTACGCTTACGAGAAAGCATGGGACAAAGGAGGATGCCCAGTAAGCCAGTGGGCTGCCTTCCCCAGTAGCCCCCCATTATAGAGCCAATATCCTGGAGTTGGGTCCAACGTTGGAGGGGCCTGCCTGCTGTCAGCCACCTGCTCGGGATCCTCGAGGGACACCAAGAAGTGAAGCTACAGCTGCAGACTTAAGATATCCTGGTAGGGACCTCTCCAGGTCTTAAAGGTGGAAGGGACTGAAGGTGGGCATCACCCTTAGCTGCGGGGTAGAGAGAGGGCTCTCACCCTGATACACCTGGAGAAAAGCAGTCACCTAACAGCCAGTGCTCAGACAGAGAAAGAATGCATGAAAGAGATGTAAACGAAAGAAGAAATTAAAACTGCTTACCGGGAGGCCAGGTCTTCCAGCAGGACCCTGAAATAAAGGCAGAAAGCATAAAGTTTACAAAGCTCAGGGGCTTGTACTATCCAATAGTTCCACGCTGTCCCACTAGCTGCAACCTTGAAGTCACGTGTGCTCAATGAGCTGCTTATTCTATGAATGAAATAAAGGGAGAGCTTTGGTCGCTTACCTTTCTTTTACTTCTAGTATTCATTCATTCATTCTGAAAAGCAGTTACAGAGGTGTCCTCCACACCAGGCCCAGCAAGGGTGCGGGGAACAGAATGATGAGACTGTTCCCCCACATATCGCTGAGCCTGAGGGGGCAGGGCTTGGTCTTTTCTGACCTACCACACCAGGCAGCTTGATGCTAGGGCAGATCCTGCCACCCACTGCTCTGATGAAGCTACTGCCCGACCCGCCATGCTAAGCAGATGGGACGTGACCTTGGAATGGGGATGGGGCATCCTTAGAGGGTTTCACCTTTCCGTTGAGATGGTCCTTCCTTTAATGCCTGCACCAGCTACAGATCACCATCTCCAGGATGGGTCTGTGCTGGGCGTGAGGTGGGGACCTCACCATACATGGCACACTGGGCCACTGAAGGAGCTTGTCTGCACTCTGCACCCCTCACACCCCTCTATGTCTTCCTCAAACTCTTTATTCATGACCTTACTGCTCCTGCCTCGCACAGTTATGGGCATGGAGCTCGAGGCACAATGCTAGGTAAAGATTCCATATAGTGGACCTGAAATGCTATTGAAAAGAGGAAAACATTTAACTGTTTTATTGATTCTAATCATCATCGCAGCAATAAGGAGGTGGCTCAGGAACCAAGCAAATACTATGCAAGTCTTATCTTTTTATTTTAGCTCTAGTCCCTAACTTCCAGGTGATCTGAATCAAGAGGCTGGCTGAGAAACGGTCTCTAAGAGCAGCCTCAGGGGCATGACTGGGCACCTTGCAAAGGGGAAGGAAACAGATGGATGGAGGTCCCGGAATTAAGCCCCACCTTAGCATGGCCGTGGCAGGGTCCAAAAGACATGGTGTCTTGCAAGGAAAACAGCAAGGAATAGTTAGGAGCCAGGCTCTGGAGGCAGCCTGAATCCCAGCACTAGAATCCCAGCTCTGCAGCTTACTTGTGCAGTGACCTTAAGCAAGTTGCTCAAACTTCCTGTGTCTCAGTTTCCCCATCTTGTAAGCAGAACAATCGCATCATCTCTTAGAACTGGATAGTATGGAAAGCATGCAGCACAGGGCATATAGCAAGTGCTGAATAATGCTAGTTATTAGGATAATTCAAGAGGACTGGTGGAGGAGTGCATGGAACTGGCCTCAGTTTCTCCCTCCAGAATCTCTACTCTCAGGTGCATTTTCTCTCCTTCTAGGCACCTTGCTGTTCCCACAGACTTAAGCCAGAACCAGGAATTGGTCCCAGGGTGCTTGCTGGGAGAGAAGTCCCTGCCCCCGCCCACCCCCCCCACCCCCCCCACACTCCAGGACTGCTGAGGTGAGTAGGCAGCACCAGGATTAGGTGAGCCCTCTGTGTGTCGCTCCTGAAAGCACACCTGTGTTGCAGCAACTTCCCACAGAGATCTAAGCTCAGGAGGTCCTAGGGAGCGCCTGGAAGCAGCCCTCAAGGGCACAGGACCCAGCTATAATTCCTTTGCTCTGCTTTATTTTTCCCCCAGAGCCTTAAAGCATCAGCTCCCGAAGAGATTCTCCTGTGTTCTTCACTGATGTGTTCCCAGTGCTTTGAGGAGTCTGAGCTCCTAGTAGGTCCTCACTCCATACTGTGCACAAATGAACCTGAGGGCCTATACCATGAACCTGGGAACTAGGCCTCCTTCTTTCCCAGTGCTCACCTTTAAAGACAACCAGGCACCTTATTCTCAGTAAACCAGAGTTTTCGTGCTGAACCAACAGCCTCTTTCACTTCTAAACTGCCCGACTCTGTTGCCAGGAGGGAGTAGGGGCAAGATCTGGGGAGCCTCTTCCCTCCTATTCCAGGAAAGAGTTTCTCACCTCCCATAGTGGGTCTACCCAGATAGAGACAGAAGGGACACTTTGCTTACTGTACCCATGTACTGACAACCTACAGCATCCGCACACAGGAAGCTTCTCTCAGGTCTCAATGCCGGGAAGAGCTGGGCTTTACCTAAACCCCAGGGGCTCTCTGACCTCACTGAAGCCAAACTCCTGCAACAACTCTGCTTTCCTCTTTGCTTTGCTACCAGGAAGCTCAAAACCAAGTCCATAGCTCGTGATCATCAGCTCTGGGTTCTCTTTGTTTTCATGCCTCTGCTCTCTGCCCCCTACCTGTGGTTTCCTTTATCTAGCTTATAAATCACCCAAAAATGTTTCTTGGAATAAAGTAAGGTGGAAATAAAAGAAGTAATAAAATTTCACAAAGAATAATTTCCTCCTGGGCCTCCCTGGTGTCCTAAGGGTTAAGTCTCAGCACTATCACTGCTGTAGCCTGAGTTTGATCCCTGGCCAGGGAGCTACCCAAATATGGTACAGCAAGACCTCTCTGGTCTGCCCACTGCTTCCCTCAGCAGTGTATTTCAGTAGATCTGCTTGCTCTGTACCCACTGTCTCTGGTGAATCTTTTACTCCCCATACTTCTGGCCTATACCCCAGTTCTTGTATACATAAGTAAATAAATTTTTTAAAAATTAAAGGCTTGCAAGAATCTTTGGAAATCATCTAGGGAAGCCCTATGTTTCTAGGAATTAATGAGCTAATATATTTTAAGTGGCAAAAATATATACATTCATACACATATATGTCTGCACACACACATAATTATATCTACATTCCTCAGAACACCTGAATGAAGCAGATATTATTACTACCCCCATTTTATAGATGAAGAAACCGAGGTACAGAGAAGTGACCAGCCCAAGGTCACACAACTAGAACTATCATTGGGATCCAGGCAGCCTGGCTCTGGAGCCCACACTTGTAATTATAATATTACACTGTCTCCATGAAAACAGTAAGCCTAACAGACAGTAAGTGTTAGCTTACTGTATTCCAGCAAAGACTGTATTGCAACCAGGACTGGCAGCTGGACATCAAATATTTCCCAATAATTGCACAGAGAAAGAGATATCCTACTTCCCTTGATCATTGGTTTCAGTCTTACAGTTCCTATAATTAAGACATTCTCTCTTAAATCTAGTGCAGGGTTGACCAATAGCTGTCAGCTTGATAAAGGACTCCAACAGAGAGGTAATGGCTGAGTAAAGCATTATGTTAAGAAGCCCTCTGTTGATTAGTTATGTCTGCCACTGGCATGGGGGGAGGGTACACCCATAGGGCTGCATACAGACACTGCCCTAGGGGCCATCTTGCTTTTCCTCTTCACCCTTGGGCTGTGGCAGGAAGCTGGGAGAATAAGGACCAGGAGGTGATTCCCAATCTGGCTACCTTCCCATATCCTCCTCATCCTGCCTTGCAGTTTCAGCCAAAGTTGGGTGAAAAGTCAGGACTCTTGTGTGTCACACAGAGAATTCAGAAAAGTTACTTGAGTGTCTCCCTTCCTTAGATCCTCCCCTCCTTTGCTCTCCTGCTGCAGCACTCCGTGCCCTCCCGTCAGCTGCAGCTCCTGGCTGAGAAGTCTGGGAGACGCCAGCAGGTGCTTTCAGGACAAGGCTGCATTCCTGGTGAGTGCAGCCCCTGGAGTCAGTGCTGGGTATATGGGGAGGCCCCAGGAGTGGGGGAGGAGAGGACTCTTTTTAGCTTTGTCAAAAAAAGAAGAGGGAAGCATCTCATTTGCAGCAGGTGGCCTGTCAAAGTTTCCTGGGGCAGAGTGTATTTTGGAAGATTGATGAAAGGAATTGAGATCTGACATCTAAAACATGTCATGATCGATCACCCTCCTCTTTTCAGGAATGACATGATTTTCCTCTTTCTTCATGACTTAGCAGTCAGAAAGCTGGGCAGGATGGTCATCGAGGGCTCAGGGCACAGATGGGAAGTTAAATACTGACAATAATTGAGTAGCTGCTCTTGTAGGGACAGAACAAGAGAACAGCCATGGAAAATAGCTTCTCCAAGGAAGGAACGATCAGGCTGCTTTCAGCAAACTTGAGAAAGATCTGATGCCCAGGGCTCAGTGCTTTCAACTCCAATCCCTGGCTCCCCCAGCGATGTCTGGGCCTTTGTTTGGGGTATCAAATGCTGTCCTCAAAGCAGACGCTCCAGTTCCCTGGATCCACTTTGGGGAGATAGTCTCTGCGGGCTCTTCTCAGGTTCTATGGCAATCACAAGGCTCCTCTGCCCCACCCTGGGCCTCAGGTGACTCCACCCACCAGCTCTGCCTATAATTTCTGTGTTGTCACCCAGTCTGACCCGCTCACACTGCTCGCTTACATGAAAACTACCAGCACCAGCACCTGCCCAGAGTGACCTGGCCAGAGGGAGCTGCCGGCACAGCCGCATGGACACGGCATCCTCAGGAGCCCTCCGCACGAGAGCCTTGCTAATGGTCTTGTTTTCTGAGGGGACAGGAGACTTTTCAAGGACCAGAACTGAGTAGAGATTATCTCTTTCTTTTTTCTAATACCTGGGGCTTCTTTGACTCCAGTTGTTTTCTTGGGGGACAAAGGAACTGGGCTAACAATGGGGCAAGTCAGCCTCTCAGATTGAAATCGGGACTTACTTTGCCCCCTGTGGGGGGAGGGGTGGGTAGAGGTGGGTGGAAAGTGAAATGGAAGTCTCCTTCCCAGGGGGAGCCATGGTGGACTTCTGTAGAAGGTGCAGGGAATCCCCCTGAAGACAGCGGGGTAGCTGTCATTCCCTCCCAGCCAGGGCCCGATTACCAACAGGGAGCAGGGCCTTTCAGACGGTTGAGTGGGGCTGCGGCTGGAGTACTTACAGGAGGTCCTGAAAGACAGAGAAAATGCCAGGGTTAGTGTCCCTGCTGTCGGGAAGGAAGGGCTGCCTTAGAAGCAGCAGCCAAGAATTCTTCAGTGGAGGGGTTTCCATCTGGTCTTCAAAGTTTATATTTTCCTGGCCTAC